CAAATTTATTGTGGAATAAAAATAAGTAATCGACTAAAAATATCGTGCGATCTTTCACGATTAGGAAAATAAGTCAGTAAGACTTTTTACGGGGTTCGCATAGTGCAATTTACTACAAACGCTCTTAGTAAGCTCAATAACTGCTTTTTCTCAAGGAGGTTTGGAACCTTTTTACCGCCGCAATTATAATAAAAATTCAAAATCTATGAACTGGAAAGATCACGGACAATTTCCATCGTCAAGGGTCTGCTATATTGGTTATTATATTAGACGATTAGGCACCCAAAATCGATATTTTTATGAGATAAATTAATACTTAATTTTCGATGGAAATTGTAACGTCCATTAATGTCAGAAAAAGGTTGAATCTATCCTTTTTGGGTAAAAGCCCCAATTCCCACGCTTGGCTGATGGCGTACCCATCATTCAATGGTTGATTACATCAATATGTTTCAAGAATCACGAATCCTATATATAAAAAAAAAATTGCAAAATATGTTGGTTATCGCATAATAACTCAATAACGCCTTTACCAATTTTGCCTTTTTTTATAATGTTTGTTGTTGTCAGCAGAAGGTGCTTATGAAAGAAAATTTTAGACAAGAACAGGGTAGAGTTGGTAAATAGGGACTCTTTTCTCCCTTGCGAAGCAGGGACGGCCCACTAGTTCCATATAAAATACGATATTTAGGGTATTTTTATTACAACTTTCATGAGACATACTAAATTAATTAATATTTTGTTGGCTTACTCACGTAATTATTTGACGAGGAACTTGAACTCGACTAGTTTCAAGCTATGCTAGAGGCTCATATTGATGAGCAGCATTCCGCGACAGTCGCCACGTCGCGTGTCGCGGAATGCTGCTCATGAATATGAGCCTCTAGCATGGTTTTAAACTAGTCGAGTTACGTAAGTAAGCCGAAAACGTTATATTTGATATTGTTATATTTTTTCTGACAAGAAACTCAAGCACCAGTGTATAGGTTCCAACTCCAAAAAACGAATTATCAGAAACGATCAATATTCTTAACACATCTTATTGCTTTCAGAAAATGAAACTCCATGAAAATTGTACTTAAGTAACCATTTCATTGTTCCCTGGCCGCTAACGACTCCAAATTCATTTAAATTTGGTGTAAAGTCAGTTGTTCACGAGTTGTTTGAAGACCCATTCCGATCATAAAAACAAATTATTCTTTGGAGACTTGGGAAAACGGAACAATTTGCAAATTCAGATATTTAATTTCTAACGAACTTAATTATTTGTTTTTGAAAGGTGAGATCAACTTTAAAGGGTTTTCAGGTTTCACTACCCTATCGATTACAATCAAAATTATCAAACTTCGTCCAATTATGATGGTGGTAAACCACATCTCAAATGGTAGACTTTATTCATCCTTGATTATATTTACAAAATTAAAACCACACAAAAATAATCTTTAAAGCAAAGATAATAGCTAACAGACTTCTTTACACAATCCTTTTTATTACTAAAAGCCAAATACCTACCACACAAATACATACCTACGTACTTATATAACTTATCAAAATCAAAAGATTCCTCTACCCATCTTATAAGTTATACCTACTACACATTTTTAGTCTTAAAGATAGATAAGAGGCAATTACGAAGCTATCGTAGATGAATTGGATCAAGTAGAGTGGGACGAGTTATTGATAAGAAAACCATTGAATGAGGCTGTGACTATTTTCTATAGTAAACTATATGAGCTTAGAGATAAATATATTCCTACCAAAACTATAGCTCACTGTTCACATCCTCCTTGGTATAACTCAGCTTTAGTTAAAATGCTTAAGGAAAAATATAAATATCATCGTAGATACAAGACATATAGAAATATATCCGACTATCATTCCTTCTCCCTACTGCGTAACCGAGTTATCGAATTGGAAAAGTCTTGTTTTAATACTTATATGGCTAATATAGAATCGGCTATTACAAAAAACCCAAAATATTTTTGGTCTTACATTAAAAGTAAAAATAATACTAACACTTTTCCTAACGTTATGCAGTATGGTAATGAAACTGCGGCTACTGGAGAAGGTTTTAGTAATTTATTCGCAAAATATTTCCGTTCCACTTATCAAGACCCAGACCCATTAACACCCGTGGATTCTCCTGACCTCTCCGGAGATGATGGTTCAACATGTATAAGCTCTGTTGAAATAAGTTACTCTGAAGTTCTTAGGTTACTAAAGTCCCTGGACCTATCCAAGGCAGGTGGGCCAGACCAGATACCTCCTATTTTTATTGTACGCTGTGCAAAGAGTATTACTATCCCAATCTGTATTCTATTCGAACGATCGCTAGTAGAAGGTGTAGTTCCCAACATATGGAAGTCGGCCTTTGTAACTCCAATCTATAAAAAAGGAGACAAGTCAGATATCACCAACTATCGCCCTATATCCAAAATATGTTTGTTTGCTAAAGTGCTTGAGCGGATTGTACATAATAATGTATACACTGCATTAAAATGTAAATTTTTCGAAGAACAGCACGGCTTCATCAGACATCGGTCTACTACATCTAACTTAATATTATCGCATGAATACATTACAAAAGGCATGGAGCAGCAGGCACAGGTAGATGTCATATATACCGACTATAGTAAGTGTTTCGATCGAATAGATCATAAAGTCCTTCTGGATAAGTTAATGCGAGCCGGTATACACGGGAGTTTATATCGTTGGTTCTCTTCTTATATAGAAAATCGAACACAGGCAGTGGTGCTTCGGGGATATAGTTCAGGTTGGGTTGCTATACCTTCAGGAGTACCACAAGGATCCATTTTGGGACCACTTCTGTTTACGATATTTATTACCGACATTAAACTTTGCTTCAGGCACTCCTATGTCCTGCTGTAGGCTGACGACATGAAAATACATAAAGTTGTGCAGGACCAAGAAGATGTCAAATGTCTTCAGTCGGATCTAGAACGATTTGAGGAATACTGTAGGTGTAATAAGTTACAACTTAATGTGTCCAAATGCTTTCACATAACCTTTTCTCGGCGAAAAACAATAATAGGTGAAGGATATAAACTTTATCACCAAAATATTAATAAAGTCAGCAGTATAAGAGACTTAGGAATTATACAAGACAGCAAGCTCTTATTTGATCAACATATAGACGTCATTGTAAAGAAAGCAGCGAAAGCACTAGGATTCATAATTAGAAACACAGCTGACTTCCGTACTCTTAAACCTGTCAAGATTTTATACTGTTCTTTCGTACGCAGCCACCTAGAGTATGCCTCACAGGTTTGGAACCCTCAATACGAGGTGTATACCTCTCGTATTGAGGGTATCCAAAAGAAATTCTTGCGCTTTCTGGACTTCAGGGCAAAGCAGCGGTCTGAGGATTACATACATCGATGTAAAAGGTATCATTTTCTTCCATTGGAAACTAGACGTCACATCAATGATGTATGTTTCTTATTAAATATCGCTAATGGGACAGTTGATTGTCCCGAATTAGTAGCAAACTTATCGTTGAAAACAAACCTGGTAGGTTTCCGTCAACGACCACTCTTACAGGCACCTTCTGCAACGACTAACTACAGACGTAATGCGTTTCTATTGAGGGCAGTTCGGAGCTTTAACACAATGCCACGTAACTTAAATATAGATCTGTTTTGCACAAGTGCAGGTACGGCAAGGCGATTAATGGCCAAATCTTTCTTCGATGTATGAAATATTTATATAATAGGTACTAGTCTTCAATATATTTTAATGTTTGCTTACCCATATGCGGGGGCTTGTTATTAGCAACTTGTTAAAACTACAGTTTGTTACTACTTATAAGATGTTATTAGTCTGTAAGCCTTCCTTGAAATAAATAAATAAAAAATAAATATTTATAGACAATTACGTATCAGAAACAAAGATAAAGAGTGCTTTAAAAAATTCAACGAATAAAACTAGTGTTCAACACATACACAAAGCGCTCCGTATGCATGTCTTTTTTTTAAACTTACCAAATAATAGCAGCAATAAGTCGCTAACAGCCAAACTGAAGAGATAATAATTGGTCGCTGTGTGCAAACCAGGATGTCTCACAATCACCACACACACACAAGCATTGCCAATCACACCAGTCAGAAATATGACCACCAATATAATACTAATCGGCACTATTTCCTTCAATGGTAAGCGTCTAGACCCCATTAACCACCATAACATCTCCTCCTCACTACAGTCAAAATGCGATAAATTATTGCATCGATTAAAAAAATCGTCGTAAGTCTCATTTCCACGCAAAAATAATTTGGAATCCATTTTTACAAGATATTTTTTTTAGTTTTTTTATCCAAAAAACTTGTTAACAAAACACTCAACCCTTACATAGGTGACAAATTAATTTTGTTAAATATTTACCACCAAATAAAATAAAAATATTACGAAAAGTTGGTGTATTCAGAAACCGCAGAAAACATGACCGATTCAACCGAGTTCCCGCGCGCACTGATGCTCTCTGTGTAACTTTCAGACCTGACAATTTATGGAGAACTACGAAATTTCACCAAGCTGTGTACTTACATCTGTAGATTAACAAATTTTGTATATTTCCGTGACCAATGAATATAATATTTATTAGGTACGAATTGTGTAATATTAATATTACCTATTTTTGTATTGCAAACTTACATACATTTAATCGTTTCATTTTTGTGATTCTTGTTTGTCATATTTAATTATTTCCTTAATTTTTTAGTATTACAATAAAACATAGTGAAAGTTCACAAAAATTCTAAAGTACCAAACCGGATACCGATTATAATTTTCACTAATATTTGAAATCTCGCGGTCGATTTTCCCGCTAAATAAGTGAGACGCCATATTACTTCTAGCGCGCACCACAAGGAACCATAAATGTTTAGTCGACTTTCATTCGATCATTTCTCTATGACGGATAGAAAATACCACGCATTTTTTGTCTGTGGTAGTTGCGCTACGCCCGCACAATCATTAGTTGACACAGATAACAAAACGTCAAACAATACATTGGTGGTGTCGAATTTTCTAGTGGAAATTACAAAAATGCGATCTATTCCAATGTTTTTATAGGTTTTATTGTTGCCCTTGCGTTTACGCCTTAGCCGGCTAAAGCTAAGAAGTATTTATTATGAGTGTTCAAATGAACGAAGAAATTGCGGACATAACTATGACAGGAACTGAAGCAGACTCTTCGCAATCGCACGGGCACGAAGGTAAATAAACAATTTACAACAATATTAAACTTATGTAATGACAACAAACAACTTTATTTGATTAAGAACAAATCGAGAATAAATACTAAATGATGTTTGCTGTACTTTAAGTATTTACTGTGTGTTGTTGTTGCTTTTACTTTTAAAATATTGCCTTGTAAACATAAAAACTTTTCGTTTAGATGAAACTTTTTTAAAACATTGTACGAATATTAATAAACCCATAAACCAACCCAACTCTGACTCAATATAATTAAAACTAAATTTAAAAGCCACAGAGATACTTAGAACAAACAATTCTTTTATTTTAGCCTCATCGAGTGTAACCGCAGATGATGCGTCGTCTAGCAATGCTGCTACTCCAGCAGGCAGTGAGGGACAGGCCTCCAGACAGTCCAATCTACAACGCATACAGCAAAGAAAGCAACAAGTTTATGGTTGGCCACACAACAAAAAATTGCTCAAATTAGCAATCTACTCCGAATGCCAGGTAATTGAACTTACATTTAATTCATTTTCAGGAAAGATTTCTAGTCAAACTGCATGGCTATAAACTTAATCGTGTTTAAACAAAAGTATAAGAACTTTGTTATCAAATGAACTGACACAAGTAATAAAAGAATGTAGGAAAACAATTTTTGTATTTTAAAACTAGGCCAGGTCCCTATGCGAAGCAGGATCAGCTAAAAATTCAGTAGTATTCAGCAGTATTTTGTTAGCTAACCACCCAATATCTTTATATTTATTTTTCAAGTTTCCACTCTATATTCATCTTTTAAGTTTATTCTCCCAACAATAACAAATAACAAAGATCTTTCAGCTGGTCTCAAGTTTTGTGCTTAGGAACACATATTATATTATAAATCATTTATCTCATTGTTATTTCTCCTATAGACTCCGGAATGCAACTGCAATGGTTGGAAGACTCCAGCTCCTCAGCCCACTGGGAAAGGCAATCCTCGAGCAGACAACCAGCCTATAGCTACATTCAATGATCCTTGTCGGAACTGCAACCATATCTTAGGTTTGTATTAAACATAATTTTGATAGCAAACCCAATAGAATATTTGTCAATCTGGATTTTTTTTCTGGATTTGTGCTCCAGCATGCCATGGCAAAGCCTATGATACAGGAGAAAATGTTAGGCTGTAAAATCAAAAGTCAAGTCAAATGATTTATTTGAAATCCTTTTCAATGCCATACAAAAAAATATTGAAAGGTTCAACTTTGAGTGTCGGTGAGTCAGTCTGTACTCGACTACCATGTGTGGGACAGCCATGCTTTGGCACAAATGGATTGGCTCAACCGGAGTGATACCACAGCCTCACAGAAAACCGGCGTAAAAAACACAGCGGTGTGTTTCGCCTTGTGAATGAGGTAACCGGAGGCCCAATTCTTCACCCAAATCCAAATGCCTAAACCCAAAAAGGTTGGCAATGCACTTCTTACTCCTGATGCAGATGTTGCTTGTTTGCCGACCATCACATAAAGAAAACAAAAAGAGTGAAGCTTTTTACTTGTTCCAAATTGTAGATTCCTATGGAGAAGAATTAACGAGAAACTCCGTGGTTGCTCTTTTTTAATCAGTTTCACAATTCATTTCCTTGTTACATTATTTAGTATATAAATGTTTGTAGCAGATTTGTTTTCGATTCTAAAACAAGATGTTTTGTTTTAATGTTTTTAGAAAAGCATGTTACTCAACTGCAAGGGTTACCAGTAGCAGAAGTGAACAGGCTGCTCGGAGCAGTGGTAGATGTGGAGAACATCTTCATGTCCATGCACAGAGAGGATGACCATGATACTAAACGTGTTTATTATTATTTATTTAAGGTAAGTAGGAGTATTTTTTTTCTATAGCTTTCTTTAGTATTGACTGTATCTTACCTTGCTGGGTTTATTCATATATGGCACAAAAGGTGGTCATTATTCCACATTCTATTCTGTTACTGAGAATTTTCAATAATATTGTTACTTACTACAAAATATAATCTGTAGCTTTGGAAACCACTTACCGAACTATAGAGGTAGTCAAGTGATTATAAGTTGATAAAATCCAAACCATAGCAATAATTCATAGTTGATACCTAACTGTTCCTTTTTAGCAATGATTGTGTAGAATGCTTATAAAGAGGTAGCATTTTGAACAAGGGACATATTCAAAGACTTCTTGTACTCACTTGAAACAACTTTAAACAAGACCGAATGGAAATCTCAAAAAAAAAATACTTCTCTTTGCAAAATAATTGATCAGCTGTTGCGATTTATATGAGGATATAAATTTATTTTTATCCTCATATGTTGTTGTAATTGAGCTCCAAAATCGGCTCCTTTAATATGTCCGTTGCTCAAAATCCTCCCTGTGTGTCCAAGGAAAAAATAAAAAAGACTTAGTTTTGCAAGCCGTAGATCATAAGTGTAGTGTCTAAAAATCGGTGACACAAGCTGATACGTTTTTTCTTCTTGTTTCCAGATATTACGCAAATGTATTCTTACCCGTTCACATCCTCGAATCGAGGGTCCACTAGGCCAGCCTCCATTCGAGCGACCCTCCATAGCCAAAGCGATCACAAACTTTGTTCTATACAAATTCAACACTCTACCTCAGAGGGAATGGCAGACCATGTATGACCTCGCCAAGATGTTCCTACACTGTTTTAACCACTGGAACTTTGAGACGCCTAGTGTTAGGAAATTGGTGAGTAATCTTTTGTAGTAAATTGCATTTTCAAGTTAAAAAAAAAGTTTATAAGCCATCCTAATTTAAAAACTATATACTCTCTGTAAAAAGTTTTTATGCAATGTTACTGATTTACTGAAGACATGTCAGCTGCTGTTTTGGTCATATTTTATTTAAGATTTAATCTCTTATAATTTTATTATTTTAATTTTCAGCAAGTGTCAAACCCGGAAGATATATCGGCTTACCAAATTAATTATACTAGGTATGTATATTTAAAGGTAATAAAAAAAGTTCTGTATGTCTGAAGTAGACTAATCCACAACCAATATGTTTTTTTATCCCACCCACCACACCACCACCACCACATCCCATTTATTAAAAAAGCCTTTTATGGAAGTTTATTGTAGAAAAAACTTTTGTTAAAATTATTAATGACTAATCCTAAACACGTTTTAAAGTCATTTAGCCACTACTGACATAATTATGGTGAAGTTTAACATAAGTTAAACCTCAACTCATTAATTAACCAGCCTCAAACTCCAAATCCCATATTATCCTTTAAAGTCTTACAAGTAACAACTAGTTTTACGAGTGTCCATGGGAAGCGCTGACCAATATACCATAAAAAATTGATCAAGGCTGGTGGTTTATGCTCCTTCCTTCTCCATCTCAGAAGAGGTCTTTCATCATTAGTGGGACAAGTACCAGCTGTTTATGAAGAAGGCCTTTGTCCAGCAGTATTTGATTACCTTTCAAGTACCAATGTGGCTTTCTCCGAGTTATATGTAATTTCTATGATTATTTAGACACCACTAACATATGGTGAAGGTAAACATCGTGAGGAAACCTTATAATTTCTAATTAAAATCGCCAACCCGCATCGAGCAAGCGTGGTAATTAAACCTTCTCCGTATGAGAAGAGGCCTTTGCTCAGCAGTGGGCACTTATATGCGGATGATGATGATTTGATGACCTTTATTTATTTTTCTTAACATTACTAGATGGTTAGTTTTCTGCCACGTTCCTGCATTCTGTGACTCGTTGCCTCATTACGACACGTCTCTAGTATTCGGTCGGACATTACTCCGGGCTGTGTTCAAATCCGTCTGCCGGCAACTCATGGACAAGTGCCATTCTGAGAGGGACCGTATGCCTCCTGAGAAGAGGGTGAGTGTTTTTATCATACTGATAATCTATTCGAAGAAGGGCAATCGGTTGCTGGGCATGGTGTCGCATAAGTCTTTCTGTGATTCACAGATTGTTGTACCTGTTCTGGGTGTGATGTAAATATGAGAGCATACAAAAAACGTGGTAACACTTTCACTAATACGGTAAGCGCCATGGGGGTCACCGGTAACCTGTGTTAGCGGAGGATTTGCCTTCAACAGTTATCTGTCGGCAATCAAAGGCTTAAATAAAATATTTCATCTAGAAAGTGAAATGTCTAAGTAAAGACGATGGGGACATCTTACTTTATTAAATATTGAATGAATCTGATAAAGTTTTTACTGGTGGTCACATACCTATCAATTAATTATTTATTCTAGATCACGAAATTACTAGATTTTATACTGATTTCTCTTACTTTTTTACAGGTATTAGTGCTAACCCACTTTCCTCGATTCCTGGCTTTGCTTGAAGAGGAGATATTCAGCTCCAACTCCCCGATATGGGACCCTGAGTTCAAGCAGATCCCACCGAACCATCTACAAGCCATATTTGATAATAAGAACAGTAAGCACATTTTGTAACTATTTTCAAAACATCTATGTAAATATTTTTTTTGCCTTTATACTGTACATTACTCTAGTTAGACATTATGCATATCGCATCTTTTTTATGAATCCCTGTTAGGCTTGAAATTAATCGAGTTACCCCGTCACTCAAGTGAATAAGCCGTAAAACATAATTAGATCGATAAAAGATAATTAATTAAGCTTAATAGAAACCTTCTTTCAGTCCCAGGAAAATTATTTTATTATAAAGTTTATTTAACCAAAATAATCTCAAATGAAATCTCAACATTAATAATAGTACATCAACAAAGTTTAAAGTATGATATTTCCTACAACAACAAAAAAATTCATCTATTGAAGAAATAAGAAGTATTTTTATTATTCCTTCTTGATGGCCTATGATGAGTATAAAACTTTTTTTTTTTGTTTATGTAGCAGCGGGCAGAAGGGGGGGCGAGTTCGAACGCGTTACTGCATCCGGAGACAGTAAGGATGGCTTTACCACAGTCACTTTATCATCAGGTCAGTTCCAAATATTTATTTACTATCCAAAGATATTTTGTACCTTAATCTGAAGGGTTTGAAAGTGCAATTTACATTGTTTTCTTATTAAATATGCCTATTTTATACCGTAAATGTTATCAAGCAAGTGCTAATCAATCAATAGATGACAAAAAAATCATAATGTCCGTGGCAATTAAGGCGAATTTTCAATGCTCTGTAGTCTATTGATAGTAGACAAACAATAGTTTATGTTAATAAAACAAAAAAAAGAAGCCAGAATTCATTATTTTTTCGCTCATGAGGCTAAAGGATCGTCTCGATCGGAGATCTCTCCGCCCTAGTATCTACTAGAGCTTCACGGAAAACTAGCAGAAACAACCGCTTGCTAGTCTTTCGCCGTGTTATTTAAATTACCATATGCTCAATACTCAATTCATATTTCTAACTCCCAAAAAGCCAATAATGCGCTTGCAATTCCTCGGAAGTCCCTCTGAAGGTGTCTGTCCATGGGTGGCTATTTCAGCCGGGGTTGCGGGGCAAGCGCAATGAAGCACAGCGGCCTCGGCCCAGAGCAAGAGAAGAAACTCCCGCCTCACCTTGGGCGAGAGCAGTCATTTGATGATTTTTACTTCACAAAAAAAAACAAAACGCTTGCTACTTTTTCGCCGTGTGATTGAGATTGCCGTAAGCCAATACCCCCATATCGAAACTCCAAATAGCCACATGTAACAATGCGCTTGCAATTCCTCTATAGTCTTTCTGAATTTGAGTGACCTTGACCGACGCTGATCGCTTACCATCAGGTTATTTGTTAGCTCATTTGCCACATTTTGACATAAAAACTTAACTCTTTAAAAGACAATACGTATATTCATACCTTATTTATTAATTATATTTATTATTTTCCTAGGTACAATAAAATCCGAGGGAGGAAAGCGTGCTAGTGACACGGTGGCCGCTAGCTCGGCCAAACGTCGGCGCATCTTGGACGAGTCGGGCGACGACGTCAGCGAGAGGACCGTCGCCGATATTGTAGCCACCATCACTGATCCTAACTATATGTGTGGACCTGATGTGAGTTATCCTTTTTGTTTGTCGGGGGAAAATCTTCAAATGACTTCTCCCGCCCAGGGTAAGGCGAGAAAGTGTCAGACTCTTACTAACTAAAAGCCTCCCCGTTCCGTCTCCTGCTCTGGGCCGAGGTCGCGGTGACTCATTGCGCTTAACCCGTAACCCTACCCTTGAATACTTTACTAGCTATTTTCGCGTGGTTTCAACCGCTGTACGGCTCCATTCGATCGTATCGTGATGTTTTATACCCTATAGCACACAGGAACGTTTTACCTATCGATCAGTGAAAGAATTTTGGCAATCCGACCAGCGGTTCCAAAGATTACCCCCTACATACAAACTTACAAATTTTACCTCTTTGTAATATTAGTATAAAACAACGATTTCTTTGTCCCTATATCCCTATGTGTGTATTTTCAAAAGTATGCAATGGATTTGGATGAGATTTTTTTAAAGGATAGAGTGATTGAAGAGGGAGATTTATATGTATAGTATAGTGGAAAAATTTTGCTTTAGTATGGCACCCATGCAAAGCCGTGGCAGGTCGCTACATTTTCTTGTATAGGTAATAGTGCAGCAAACAAATAAATGTTTTGGTTGGAAATTGAATGGAATGAACCGGATCGACCAGAGTGATACCACGGCCTCACTGAAAACCGCCGTAAAGCCACACTTACGTTGTGTTTCGCCGTGAGAGTGAGGTTTCCGGAGTTCCCAACCTCCTGCTCCTTTCACCCCAAAAGTTTCAATTTCAAAGCTATTAATAACATACGATTCTGTAAAATAAAAAAAGCAAGTTATTGTTTGTACATTTCAAAAAGAATTCAACACAGTTTTAAATTTTCCAATACCCTGAACACTTTCTTTCAGCTGATAGAATTGCTCGTTTGCCCCATACCCCATAAAACTATATGTTAATTTATTTTATCATTATTCTAGGCTCTATTCCAAATGCAAGCGCCTCGCGACGAAGCAGCCAAGTCGGAGGAGCAGCGCAAGATGATCGAGTTCCACGTGATCGGGAACTCACTCACAGGACCCGTCAACAAACAGACCATGTTATGGCTCATTGGTAAGGGAAATACAAATTCTTATAATTTTTAAGAATAAAATTTAAATTATCTTGTATAGAATGAAGTTCCTTATGGCGCGTTGCAAAATTGGCGTAAGAAATAAAAATTGGTAACGACACATCACTCCCTCTCCCTTCAGGTATTTCCTAATTGGGTAGTTTCCTAGGTCAAATAAATTAATTCGATGTTTCAATACAATTATTAATAAAAAATAACTATACTTTTATTCATCGTTACAAAAAATGTTAGATACGTTTTAGCTAATTTTTAGGAAATAAGTAAGCAATTTGACGCAATAATACTATGACGTCATAACTCAGTATTTCATACAAACTTCATAGAAAAGTATCGTTTTTTTCATTTGAATAAAAGTATTGAATTTGACTAGTTGGAAACTACCGTATTGATTATACTTATTTGTTAACTAAGAATAAATATATTAATTTCTTCCTACATGCATAAGTAAGGATTTGTAAGGAGGATGTCAAGTGTTAACATATTTTTTTTTCAACTTTTCTTTCTTTTCTTTCCTTTTTTTTTAAAAACGTTGCCCCACACTTAGATTTGCTCTTGTGTCGTGTGTGCGGTTACAAACATACAATTTCACATACACATGACACCCAGACCTGGAATCAAACCCGCACCAATCAAACGTTGCACAGCAGCCAGTTGCCCAGCCACCGCATCAACCGTGCAGAAATTTATTTTAAACTCCTTTTTTAAGTTTCCTCCTTTAGGTTTTATTTAGAATAACATTGGCTTTGACTAGCTTTGTAAAATATATACTAATGTGTATTATCTGTTCCCTAGGTCTGCACAATGTTTTCTCCCACCAACTACCAGAAATGACCAAAGAATATATCTCACAACTGGTTTTTGATCCGTAAGTAAATTTTTTAAGCTTCATATGTAAATAATAATAATATTTTTTTAGAATTTTACTACATATCTGTTGGTATTTTTCAGGAAACACAAAACCTTAGCACTTATCAAAGAAGGCAGACCCATTGGTGGGATTTGCTTCAGAACATTTAGCTCACAGGTATGGAAATACAAATACTTTTCTGTATCATAATTGTTGTCATTGTGAGAAGTTTATTTAAATTAACTAAGAAAATATCTACAAGTTTTTAGTTATTATTTATAATACACAATTCAATCACGTAACGAATTTCGAGATCTGCTCGACTAGTTTCAAGCTACTACTGGGACTCATAATAAAGAATACCGAGTTACGGAACACGCAATAAATAGCTTCACAAAGAGGACTAACCGACAGACTGGCACTTGTCTTTTCTTTAAGCTTTCTTTGACGTTCAAAAGTGCCTGTTAGGGTCTGCTTGAAATAAATGATTTGGACTTTGACATTAACATTACAACATTTTGTTCGTTAAGTTAGCATTTTATTTTATTTTTCTTCGTTATAACAGGGTTTCAGCGAGATAGTGTTCTGCGCGGTGACATCTAACGAGCAAGTCAAAGGCTACGGCACACACCTGATGAACCACCTCAAGGATTACCACATCAGGAACAATATCCTCCACTTCCTCACCTTTGCCGATGAATTCGCTATCGGTTCGTATTAAAATTTATTTGTACTTAGTACCTAAACAATGACGATTTAAAGGTTTTTTTTTATGTGATAGGTCGGCAAACGAGCAAACGGATTACCTGATGGTAAGCAATCAGCGTCACCCATGGACACCGCAACGACGGAGGAGTTACGAGTGCGTTGTCGACCTTTTAGGGATTAGGGAGTTGGAGATTTTGGGAAAGGGAACGGATTGGGGTAGGGGAAGGATTGTGTCTCCGGTAACCTCACTCACACGGCGAAACAAAACTCTTTAGTTATTTCACGCCGGTTTACTTTCTCCCCCCACCCCTTATCACGCCCCAATAAATTCCTAAAAGCCCTTATTACTAAAATTAGTATTGACTACTCTTTTAAAATCGCGCGTTGCGAAATTGTCTAGAGGGGATTTAAGATACTCAATACTCAATACTCAATATCTTTATTGCTTTTCCATAAGTACATTAAAGGTGGTAACAATTTGTGTGAGATCAATTATGGACCCTGTAGGGCACAGCAAAATAAGGCAAACAGGAGATAAAAAATTGTAGCGCACATTATCGTCCCGCCTCTCAGGATTTTTCTAATTCATCATATTTATTTGTTAAATGATATTAAAGAATTAGTATATTCATTTCTTCATAAATTAAAAGTAAGGATTTATGTGTGGGAGAGCCATGCTTCGGCTCGACGGGAGTGATACCACGACGTGGAACAACCACAGCGTTGTTTCGCTGTGTGAGTGAGGTTACCGGAGGCCCAATCCTCCCCCCCCCCCCCCCCCCCCCCCTTCAATCCCTAAATCTCCAAATCCCTAATCCCTAAAAGGTCGGCAACGCATTCGTAACTCCTCCGTTGCGGGTGTCCACGCTGATTGCTTACCATCAGGTAAACTGTCGGCTCGTTTGCCAATCTACTACATAAAAAACAATCGACTATCGTGGGTGGCGTTGATCTCTTACCATCAAGCAATCAGTTCTAATCCCCTCCCCCTACTCCAATAAAAAACAAAACTCTTGTACTAATATAATATAATTCCCCAGGTTACTTCAAGAAACAGGGCTTCAGTAAGGATATAAAGTTGCCCCGCGCAATGTACCAGGGCTACATCAAGGACTACGAGGGCGCCACGCTCATGCATTGCGAACTGAACCCGCGGATAGTATACACGCAGTTCACCACTATTATACGGAGGCAGAAGGAGGTAATACTATTTTATTATTTGTCTTTGCTTGCATTCATAGGACCATAGAGTCCTTCAATGTGATCCGTGATCACATATTATGTACAGCTCTCGCCAAACTTTGTGGCTGCCCGGAATATAGTCGCGAGTCCGAATATAATTGCGCATGGTACAGTCGTCGTATACGCAATCAACCAGTATTAAAATGTTAGATAACGAAAATTGGTTGATTAAAATTGCCCACTCGACTGTACCATGTGCAAGTTCGGACTTGCGACTATATTCAGGGCGGTCATAAAGTTTGGTTTTTTGTATGTGGTGATCACATAGTAGGTAATTGTTTAAGTATAGATATATTGTTAAGATTAGTAGGCAATAGGAATTCAGGAAAAGCATACTAGTGTGTTTTATTATTTTATTGTATTCTGATCTAGTACCAGCGATCGACCCGCTCCAGCTTCGGACGGGCGCAATACTTTACTAAAATTTTGTAATTTTAAAATAAATTATATAGTTGTCTATATAACGGATGTCAAAACAAAATATGCAGTGATATATTATATTATTATTATTTATATTTGACAGATCGTCAAGAAGTTGATCGACATGCGGCAGAAAGATGTTAGAAAAATTCATCCGGGATTGACGTGTTTCAAGGAAGGCGTAAGTTAACTGCTCTAATTATCATCATCATCATCATCAACCCAAAGACATCTACTGCTGAACAAAGGCCTCCCCCGTTGTCCCTCGTCTAATAATAAATAAGCACATCAAATTAGTGTCATTATCTTAATCTTATAGTCATTATATTAATCATTCAATAACTTCTCCGCCCTGTGTGCGGCGAGGAGTACAGATTCGTACAGACTAAAAGTCATCCCATTGCTTTTTCTGCTCCAGGCCAAGGCCAAAGTGCGTTATTAGTACTTATTCCAATAATTTTCTTAATAATTAATTGAAATATCAAATTTAGTTTTGAAAATAAGCTAAAGAAATATCTAAAAATGTGAATTCGGTATGTTTTATCTGGTGGTCGTTTGGCCAAACAGGGTTAAAGCACTGAGGAAACTCCTTTCATAAACTAGTAATAAATTTGAAATCTCCTATCTGCTCAAGTCCTTCCATCCTGTGACCTTCTTCGTATGAGAAGAAGTAAGGCAGAAACAAAAGTTTGGCACTTGTAGGTCCAGATGATGATGATAAATATTATTTTTTATCTGACAGCATTTATTCAAATTTTTCTAAGTTAACCTGGCATCTGTACCCGATATGTTGACCTATTTTGCTTCATACTAAGCACCCACAGTCAAAAACCACTGAATAGGTTTTGTGGGAAAATGTTTTAAAATCAATATCTGTACACTGTTGTGATTATAAATAAACTAGCGGAGTCTCCATGAAAACCCCCACATATCAAATTTCAACAAAAATGTTAGGCGCCATCTGCCGGGCTGATTTGTGAATCTAAACCATGCAGGGCGTCACTCAAACGAGTAATTAGAAAAAATCATTTAAATCAGTCAAGCCGTTTAGGAGGAGTTCAATGACATACACACGGACAGCAGAATTATATTATTTATTTATTTATTTATTTATTCACTTCATGCACAATTTATTTGTACATAAGGCGGACTTAATGCATTGAGCATTCTCTACCAGTCGACCTTTGGCTGATGCAGAGAGTCCAGTAGTAGATGCAAGAAGCAAGCGAAATAGAATAGTATAACATATGTTTATATAAACATACATAAAGTACATATAACTATACTTATATATATTATAAAACACATACTACTTAATATACTTACACATATAAATACATATATACATATATATACATAAATGTAGTCGTGATCACGATGACTCCCTAACCCTCCTCAGAAGAAGCTCCCGAACTCTCTGCTTGAATGTCAGCCGACTAGTCACAGTCCTGACATCGGGGGGTAGCGCATTCCACAGAAGAATAGCCTGAACAAAAAAGGAGGAGTGAAGAAATTTTGAGTGATGAGTTGGACAGTTAAAGAGACGATTATTAGATGAGCGAAGATATTTACTATGGTTTGCGCAGGTGTATTGGAAATAAGGGGACAGATAGGTAGGTAGGCAAGGTGAGTTGAGAAAGGAAAATAGAGTGGTAAGCGCCCTTTGCTCCCTGCGCTGGCGAATGGGCAACCACTTTAATTGCAACCGATGTGCAGAAACATGATCATATTTGCGCAGGTTGAAAACGAAACGAATGCAGTTATTCAGAAGTCGGTCAAGTTTATTGAGGAGATCTGCATTCAGGTCATAGTAACAAACATCAGCATAATCTATTATAGGGAACAACAAGGCCTGCACAAGCATCGACTTGGTGACGGACGGAAGCAAGTTTTTCACGCGATAAAGGGCCCGCAGCGAACCGGTCACTTTTTTGCACACGCTAGTGACTTGTGTATTCCAGTTTAAATTCTTGTCAATGTGTAAACCTAGGTCTTTAACGTCACTGCTGAAAGGAACGATCGCACCGTCGAAAAGGACAGCTGGCAGAGATGCACTGTCAACCCTAGATAGAGATCGAGAGCTACCGATGACAATAGCTTGGCACTTGTTCGGGTTTACCGCAATGCCAAACCGTACAGACCAGTTCTTGATGGTAGTTAAATCATCGTTTAGATTTGAGATGGCATTGGGCAAGCTGTCTAAGCCAGCCTGACAGTATAGCTGCAAGTCGTCTGCATACAGATGGTACGCACAGCGAAGGTCAGAAGTGATAAGATTGATAAAAATGGAGAACAAGAGAGGTGATAGTATGCCGCCTTGAGGAACGCCAGCTTTTAATTCGCGCCAACCTGATGACATATCACCATGCTTGACCGACTGCTGATATAAAGATATTAATAATAATAATCCCGTGCAGGTCCGCAGTATCCCAGTGGAGTGTATCCCGGGGCTGCGCGAGACAGGGTGGCGCGGGGCGGGCCGGCCTCACGGCGGGGACCACGAGCCCGAGCCCGACGCCGCCACGCTCAAGAACATACTGCACGCGGTAAGCTGACTCACTACCTCACTGCGCGGTTGCCGCGGTGGCTGGGCAACTGGCTGCCGTGCAACATGTCGAGAGTTCGACTCCCCGCACGGAACAACACTTTGTGTGATCCATAAATTGTTGTTCCGGGTCTGGGTGTCTTTTGTATGTTTGTAAACGCACCCACGACACAGGAGAAAATTCTAGTATGAGGCGACGTTTAAAAAAATGAGAAAAAAGAGCTAACACCCTTACAGTTTGATGCTTAAACCTGTCAATAAGGGAAGAGAGTTTGCTTACCCTTGATGATGCGTTTGCTTATTTGCTACCCTTACATTACTTAGTTAAGGTATAGGGCAGCAAATACATTTTATAAGAAAACCAAACTTACCTATTTGCCCGCGACTATTACTCAAATAAAAGTGTTTTATTTAAAAAAAAAAAATCTCGTCTTGATGTGTTGTTAGTCATTTACACATTCGAGACTTAATAAAACATTAGAAATAATAATAATTTTTACTTGAACTCGTCTTCATCGTCTTTTGTCTGTTCTAAAAATCCTTACCCAAATTTCACATCTTAAACATAAATCTGCGCATACTCCTATCTCTTTCACTCTTCATACTTGTTCATCATACTTAATTTCTTTCACTCAATACTCATAGTTTTTTCATTCTTCATTTCTTCATTCGTCGTTTTACCTTTCCTTTCACTCAAACAATTACGTTCCTACATATATTTACAGGTGAAGAACCACACATCAGCTTGGCCATTCTTGAAGCCAGTCGACAAGACCGAGGTTCCGGATTATTACGACCACATCAAGTATCCTATGGGTAAATATTGATTCTCATCTCATCAAATAGCTTATGACACTTTTTTTATATAAAATAGAAGACTAAATGTGTTTTACCGTAAAACATATAAACAAGAATGGTTTAAGTCTCGATCAATTAATTGATGATTTTCTCTTGCCAAAAAAATTACTTATAATAATCATACTGTAACTGCGTTTCAGATCTCCGAACAATGGTTGATCGCCTGAAGGCACGGTACTACGTGTCGAAGCGACTGTTCATAGCGGACATGACCCGGATATTCACCAACTGCCGTCTCTATAACTCGCCGGACACAGACTATTACAGGTTAGTTAACATCACTACATAAAATAGAATAGAATAAAATAGAATATTCTTTAATGTCGTCAAAAGAAAATAAAATAGGAGAATACAAACACATATAATGAGTACGAAAGTCGGTATTATCGCTAAAAAGCAATCTCTCCCAAATAACCTTTAGATGCAATTGAACTGTAGAAGAGTTTGGAATGGGGGCAGTTAATGGCGTAAATTGAGATTAAAATTATATATATACAAAATATACATAGTAGAATAGAGTAGGTAAATAAACTAAATAAAGATTAACTAGCTACGTTGCGTACGAAATATTAGTGGCCTATTACCATTAAAAAAAAAGGATTGTGACTGAGCTAATCTAATAGTCACTGGAAATGCGTACTATAGACGTAGCCTGGACCATTAAGGAATTGCCATAAAAATAAAGGAGTGATTTTGAGTCAGTAAAAGTCAGACACTCCCTTTCGCTCTTACACAGGGTGGAAGAAGTCATTTGATGATTTTTCTGTCCTCAAAAATAATGGATATACTTTTTTTATAATACTTGGTATTTTTATCAACAGATGCGCGAACACCTTAGAGAAATATTTCCACACCAAAATGAAGGAGGCCGGCCTGTGGGACAAATGATCTCAGTTCAATTTCGACGCGTACTTCGCGATCGAGGTTAATGTTTCGCGACCCATCGACACTGAGGATACCGTATGATTTAAATATTACACTATTTATTACCTTGTAAGTTGCAAGTTGTGGCTCAAAATTCTCTTAAGTTTATTTCAATGCAAAATAACCTATCTCTTAGTAAAGTTTTATAGTTTATTTTGATGTAATATTTTTCATTCCATAAGATAGTTCACTATTAATAATTTAAATACGGCGTACGCATGATAAATTCGAGAAAAGCTCGACTAGTTTCGAGTCACATCGGGACTCTTATTCATGAGCAACGTGCCGTATTTTAAGTAATTTTTTACACAGTAATAATGTAATTTTCATCGTCTGTAGCCTAATAGCCTAGATCTGCAGATCTTGATAAATTTATGAGATTTCAATGAGTTTTAAGATCTTTTTCCTATTTTTCTTTTTATTGTTTTGCCCAAAAAAAACCTATTTATACTAATTCTGAGTGCAAAACATATGATATTAATTTCTATTTCCTTCGATAGTTCAATAATGTGCTTTGCTCAAAACTCGTGACAAGTAAACATGTCTTTTGTTGAATGCATTCAATATTAACAATTATCTCAAGAATAATAAGGTGTAATATTGGTCGTACATTAATAGACTGATGATATTTTGAATAATAACAATAATGAACGCATATAGGCAACCAAATGGCTAACGAATTACGTTTCCAACTTAGTTATCACTTTATACTATGTTTATCATAAAAAATATGAACTGACGTCTTTAATTTTGGAAGCATAGACCCAAGGATATGGTAGCGTAGTTAAAAAATCCCATATTATGATCTTAGGTAGTGCTTCTATAGTACATAGGTCATGGTGATAGCTAACGGAATGAGCCAATCATTAACTTTTGTTTTACTTTGTATCAAGAAATCTGTAAATTAATCATAAAAGTCGATTTTGTTAATCTTTCAACGTTTGTTGGAATATTTTTGTGAGTGTATACTGTTTTGTATATATTGTTATATGTGCTGGATCTATGTAAGGAGGTTAATTAAAATATATAGTTAAAAAATTGCTCGCAAGTTTCCTTAATTAGCGAACTTGCTTTTTGAAAAATGTAAACAGTCAGCCCGTCTTTGTTTTAGTAAGATATAAAATAAAAATATGACTAAAATTAATAATTATGTGTGATATAGCGCTGACTTTACATTTTAGTAAAATGTTTCTCTTAATAACTTAGGGATGATTTTACAATTTCAGATAAATGTTATTTGGGGAATAAAATTGTTGCCGTCACTGTATTATACAAATATTGTAACGCGACAGCATCATAATTTTTCCCTAGGTAACTTTTATCTAAACATTGGAAAAATAGTTCTTAGATAGTTTTAAGTCTTAAATAAAGAAATCAACTGTCCTATTAAATTAATTTTAATGTAACGAAGTAGCTGTTGGAGTTTTGTATCAAATAAATATGAAAAAAGATTGTTAAGTATGTTTTGAGTGATTTCTTTGCAAGCATTATTTTGCCCACTCTATTAAATGGAAAAGATAGTAACTCGATGACCGTCGGTTTAAAAAGGTCAATTCATATTAAGACGTGACTTTAAAAGGGAGACTCAAAATACTTTATTTTCTTTTCTACGCGAAATGTTACATATTTTTCGCGATGCAAAAAAACAAAAATAATTTTACCTTTTTTCACTATTTTTACGATTAACTCAAGAGAAAAACTAAAAGAAGTTTATCGCAAAACGTGTTATTTTATACAAGATTGATTAAAAATTATGTCGTTTTGCAGTTTTGCATATCGACAAAACTATTGAATATGACTGCTAGGAAACTACCGGACTGACCCTTACATTACAGAATTATGTGCAAGTTATTAATTTAAGGATTAAATGCATGACATTTGTAACGTTATTTGGCGAATACGACATCGTTGAATGTTTGTTTGATATTAATCTGCGTTGTTTTTCTTGGGGGGTGTCGTCAATCAATAATAATTCTGTTTCAGTCATTCTTCCGAACGGTCTTTACACCGTAAGTAGCTTAATAATTAATCGTCAGTGGTTTAAAAAAAATACAATAATGTAAAATGTAAATTGACTACATTAAAAAATTTAAAGGATATTATATGGTACAGGCTTGTCTATTTGAAGATCTTATTTTATACTTCCATGTAAATATTTGTATTTGCATTTCGTATGTATCACGTCTTTAGTCAATAAAGTATTTTTATAATAAATTCGTTTTTATTATTTCGACGTTTTCTACCTAACAATCTGTGTCATCATCAGATGGTCTATCCAAATTTTATAATTTATACTGCCCCCTATAAGAGGAGAGGAAATCATCAAATGATTTCTTTCAGGATATGGCAAGAGGGAGTGGCAGATTCTTACTGACTAAAAACCGGCCCGTTCCTTCTCCTGCTCCCGACCAAGCATAATTGCGCTAGCCTTTTCTTATTTTATTTTAATCCAACCCCAGCTATCCTGACATCTGTATTAGGTGAACTTCATAATCAAGGACCTCTCATTTTCAAGATACCTACCTGATAGTGCAATTCGGTCCCCGATCACGATGGCAAGGAATCGACGCCTCTTATGGAAACTCCAAACAACAGAGATTATACAGTATGGCCGATCTTGGCGAGTCTGCCGTTTGTCTGCGCAATCTGCTGCGTCTTTTAGGGAAAAAATTGTGTACTGCGCAGCTAATCGGCTAACTTTAAACTCGCCAAGATACGTTGGCGGTATTGTAAGAGAGTAACTATCGAGAGATAAACTAATTTAAAGACCTACTTAAATTAATTAAGGGTGTTTTTAACATCGTGCGTTTTTCATAACACATGCGTAAGTCCTGCAAATGTCCTTTTCATACAAGTAATTATTGCATTGCGTGGAATAAAAATACAGGAGAGGGGGCGCGATACATAAATACGGAGCCGAAACGTGGACACTTACTGTGCGACTGATCCACCAATTTAAAGTCGCGCAGCGAGCCGTGGAAAGAGCTATGCTTGAAGTCTCTCTAAAGGGTCGTATTCGAAACGAGGTGATACGACAGAAAACTAAAGTTATCGACATAGCCCAAAGGATTAGTGGCAGTAGACAGGTTACATCTGTCGAAGAACCGATGACTGTTGGGGTAAACATGTTCTAGAGTGGAGACCACGTCTAGGCAAACGTGGTGTAGGGCGCCCTCCAGCTAGGTGAGGACTGACGACATCCGCAGGGTGGCTGGCAGTGGTTGGATGAGAAGAGCTGAACATCGAGCTCAGTGGCGTGCAATTGGGGAGGCCTATGTCCAGCAGTGGACGACATCAGGCTGATGATCATGATGATGAGTCAGTCAAACTGCGACAAATGTGCGCGGAGCACGTGGCGACACTTGAACACGCATTCCAGCGGCTTGCTCGAGCATTCAATTTTGTAACGTATGCTTATAATGATAAGATATTTTTTATGAGCTCAGAAAATCACTGTTCTGAGAATATCTGTTCTGAAAAATCTCTGTTTTGTCTAGATTAAAGTTTCTACTTTAATCTTGTTGTGTGCTGATTGACTAAGGAGGATGGAAAGAAAGAGCTGCGAAAATGACCTCGAGACCTCGTCTAGTTTTTAAGATATAATGCATTTTTTTTAAAAATGAGATGACAGTATAGGGAGCGCTGACAATAAAAGACAAATATCAATACTGTATTGGTTTTTATTTCAACACATATATTATGTTCGCACGTAGACATACGTGCCACATTCGAACTTGAACAAGAATGGGAATGTAAACATTTTACACATATTTATTAGGTTATTAAAAAGTACATACCAGTCTCCTTGTTTATATAAAAATCCAATGGATTTAAGTACCTTTTTGTCTATTTTCGTACATAATAACTTAAATGCTCACTTAAAATAACTTAAATTAACATATTTTTAAGATAGACACAGTTTGAAAGAATTAGGTCGCTTTTAAATACAATTTTTGTGAACACAAACTCTTTTGATTTCTTCTCAGAAACTGTCACTGACGCATAAAACGCTTCACGGGACCTATCTCTTAGTAGAGGCTAGTTACAGAACAATAAAGTTCAATATTGAATAACACAGAGTTCACATTTCAATACATTAGCCTCGAAAGTTTATAATCAAACTATTTTACAACTGAATTTAAAAGCGACATTATCTTCAGACTAGATTTTATTAACTACATATTTCAAGTCACGAAATTAGTGTTTTTATCGTTATGTTATCAAAGTTTTCACTAACATTGCACCATTGGGAAGTAGTAGGTACATGAAAAATATAAGGTTCCTTATGAACATTCGCTAAAACATACATACGTTGAATGAATTCAGTTGCGAAATGGCCCCATTTTCACATCAAAGTCTTTCGATAATTACTGTTAAGTTTACAATCATTCATATGGCTGTCAAATGTATTAAATTTTATATCTAAATCATAAAATAATGACTGCAATCTAAAAGAAGCAGCGCTACAAGGATAGAAGTCTAGTAGATTGGGTACGACAAACATTCTATGCTTCATTTGAATACGTATACAAGCGATTACAACACTGTCATAGAAGAGGCTTTACTGTTATCTTGTTAGTTATTATCAATATGGACGGATACCCTTAATCCCAAACATATTATAGTTACAAAAGGGCCACCACAACTAACTACAATTACATTAGTCACACGAATGTTAAGTTATGTTATATGTTACATAAAAATAACACAAGATAAGATTAACTTATGAGATCACGAACCAATCAAAAACAATTATTAAAAAGTACGGCGAACATTTGACTGATTACAAATACTTACATATTTCATAGAAAAAAACCTTATTTTTGTTGATGTTTTTTTTTACAAAAGTTTTAAGTTCATATGTCACAAGGGTTAGGAAGAACACTTATTTCGTTGACTAGGCGGAGTCGCGGTGAATATCGAAGTATCCGAATACGCTATATATGTCCTTAATTACGAAAAATATCACTTGTCATCCACCATTCAACGAGTGTTTTCATCACTGGAGGTTTGTCTTGTATTTGAGTATTTAGGATAATGAACACAAAGTCTCACTGAGTGACACTACTCATTACACTTGGCACTGTGGAACTCACTCCTGTACTGCTGAGCTGGTGGTGGCCGCGTCCTGCCGCGAGGTCTCCGCGCGCTGCGACCCTGAAGGTGACGACGTGCACGACCTGGAAACAAATCAAAATTAACTAGTACTCCAACAAAAATGTATAATCCAACAGCTAACTACATCCACCGGTAGATTTGAGATCGAATTAATTTTAACACATATCAATGTCAAGTTGCAATTGACTGCACGGTTTTTTTTTTGTCAGGGGAAAATCATCCAATGGCTTCTCCCGCCCAGGGCTGGGCGGGAGGGAGTGTCAGACTCTTCCTGACTAAAAACCCCCTGTTCCTTCTCCTGCTCTGGGCCGAGGTCGCGGTGCCTCATTGCGCTTACCCCGCACAAATTTGTTATTCCGGGTCTGGGTGTGATCCGGGGTTGCGGGGTAAGCGCAATGAGGCATGGCAGCCTCGGCCTAGAGCAGGATAAGGCAGGGGATTTTTAGTCAGTAAGAGTCGAGTGGGATTGTTAATCCCTCTCGCCTCAGGTCTGACTGTGATATTCATATGAAATTGTATATTTGTAATACTCAAAAAAAAACATTCTAATTGATATTTCTTGTAACAAAATTAGCTATATTTATAACAACTACAACTTTTTTCTTTTTTTTAAGCAAAATACCTTGCCCTTCTTTAGGATTTTCTCCTGTGTTAAGGGTGCGTTTACAAACATACAATGTCACATACACATAAGACCCAGACCCGAAACAACAATTTGTGGATCACACAAAGTGTTGTTCCGTGCGATAATCGAACCCGCGACACGTTGCACGGCAGCCAGTTGCCCAGCCACGGCACCAACCGTGCAGTCAACTACTGTACTAGTGATTCCAAAAAAGATATATAACTGCATTGAAAAGGTATCTTTTAAAGTAGACTTTATATTGAGGTATACCTGCTGGGGTGGTGGTGACGCGGCGTGTCGCAATTCCTGGGCAGCGAGGGTACCAGCTCGTCCGGAGACGAGGCGCGACTACTGCGCTCACTGCCAGCCTCCTCATACGAATTATCGCTCGTCAACTGTAAAAATACAATTATATTGTTAATATTGTATGTATATTAGGTAAATAACTTTTAAAAAAATGTTATTATAAGCAACTATGATTGATTATGAAGTATTGTGTCGCATATTCTATGTATATTTATGTATTTATTTGTTTAAAAATGTTATTATAAGCAACTATGATTGATTATGAAGAGTCGTGCCGTATGATTAGGTGAAACAAAGGATTATAGACCTTAATAACATTTGAATTTAGATTAATTTGAGAAGTAAATCCAACGGTTATTATTCTTTCACGCAATAACGGCGGAACCAATTTGGTTGAATTTTGGAAAATATTAATTGAGGTTACTTTCTATCAACACACTGTAAGTACACATATATATGTATGTATGTAAAGCATATATAAGCAATATAAGAAGTATGTATAACATGTACGAGTGTGAGCGGATGTCGGTTCCGTGCGGGGGACAGCGCCCGGCTGCGGGCCTCCTCCACCTCCAGCTGCAGGATGCTCTCCTGGCTGCCTGTGAACTGGACACAACACACAAAATATTATTAACCTTGCCATTTCCATAGCATTTTAAAGAAAGTACCTACTTCATAATTTATGTAGTACTAGTAAAATAGTATTTCAGGTTTTATTTGGGAGACACTGTTATTTTTTTTTTTGTTTGATGTTAAAAGAGTCATGATTATATCGTTTTCGTTATCGACACTGGTAACCCTAATGATTGACACAAATGCGTTGCCAGCATTTTATGAGTTGTAAGGTTTTTGAGAACAGGGGATTGAGGAGGAAGGAGTAAGGAGGCCTCCGGTAACCTCATACACATGGCGAAACACAACGTACTTTGACTCCTACATACAAACTTACTATTCAAATTTTTTCTCTTTATAATATAATATAAGTAGAGTATGTGTTATTCCATTACTAGCTGCTCTCGCGCGGTTTTACCCGCTGCTCAGCTCCATTTGATCGTAGCATGATGTTTTATAGGCTATAGCATTCAGGAACATTGTAGCTAACTATCAGTGAAAAAAAGAATTTTGGCAATCCGACCAGCGGTTCCAAAGATTACCCCCTACATACAAACTTACAAATTGTACCTCTTTATCATATTAGTATAGAAGTATAGATTTAGGTAGGTACTGACCACAAAGCCGTAGTACTTGAGTATGTCCATCTTGCACATGGGACACGTGCGGTGCTCCAATAACCACGGATCTATGCAGTTCTTGTGGAAGTCGTGTCTGGAAATAAGTTTAAGCAAATTTTATTTTAAACTCTTTCATTAATTAATTAGTTGATAAGAATTTACCAACGTATATCCAGCAGTAAATTTAATTATCTTAGGATTTTTTAAGTAGCAATCTAACTTCTAGACCAGAAAACATGAGTCAAATATCAATTTATTATATATGTACTTTTCTAAAAATAGTAATAGCAAATATCGAGTAAGAATTCTGTTTCGATTTTCACAAAATAATATGTAATATTTGTAATATAAAAAACATCTTAAATAATGTAACATTCGGAACTGACCTACAAGGAAGAGATCTTAATGTTTCAGACACTTTGTAAGGTTCTATACAGATGGCGCAGCACTCGCCGTCACCTTGAACTTCCTGAAAACAATAAAAATAACATTTATTTTATAACAAAACACATAAAACTGGTTTAAAATTATTCATAAAATAAATATCGGAGTTCAAACTCGTTACGGCACGTGCCTGGGTGTTATTTTATGGATTACTTTCACGAGAAGTAGTAAAGCATAAATTTTAATGTTTTGTAACTTTTGAACGATTTCATAACCTCAATAATTCACTATAATCCTAGTTTAAACTGTAATAGTAGGTAAGTGTAGAAATGTGCATGTATGTCAAATAATATTATTTCATGAGGCGTTTGTAATATAAAGAGGGAGCCATGGCATCCATAACACATGTTTAATCGTAATTTGGGTGCCAAAGGTTTAGTAAACAAGTAATATTTTACAATTTTATTGTTCGTATGTTATATTAGAATGCAGATGAATGAGGATTTAGACTAAGTCAAAATTGTACCTAATTGTACCTACCTTTGAAAAATTACGGAAAATTCTTAGTAATCTTCTGGAGTCTGGAAGTGGGGCTAATGTTTATCCAAACATTACCCCTAGGTATAAAGTAAGGCCCCTATCTTAACTATTAAATACAATAAAACTACTAAAATATCGGTGATTGATTAGGTAATCATAATAAATTAAATGTTACATACCCTATCATCAGTCTTTAAACTCTTAAGAGGTATTTTTGACAACGCTTTCTTAGCCGCACAGCATAGACGTTTCTGTAATGATACAAACATGTCATTAGTTTCAAAGAATTTTCAGTTCTAACAAAGTATTGCAAAGTTTTTTAATATCAGTTTTCCTGTATCCTGCAATGTAGGGGCAGACTGGTTGAAATTTACGTTGACTGAATTTATTTATTTATTAAGAATATTTAGAATATTTACATATATAACATTACAGCTTACGCCATTAGGTTGTATTGTTAATTTTATATAAATACTATTATCTAGGTACTTAAAAAACTGATTAGGATTAAATACAAGAAAAACAATACAATTTAAAAAAACAAATAGGTGTATGGTGTTATTTATTACCTAATTTAAGTGTTTCTCATTTATAATAATAAGTTTGTATAATTGGGTAGGTTTTAAACTACGTTAAAAAAATCGACGTTTCAATAATATCTATAAAATATTGGAAAATAACTATAATTTAATTCATTGATCTACCGATACACAAAATATTAGCTAATTAAAATAACAGTAAAGTATTTGACGCCAAAAATACTATGACATTATTATTCGGAGTTTCATACAAAATTGACATTTGGATAAAAGTATTGAATTTGACAGTAAGAAACTATCATATTGTGATAATTGCAAAATCTGTTGCCATTGATGCAGTTAATCTAAGTAGATATTTAAGATTGTTCTAGATATAACTTTAATATAGCAAAGCAACTTACAGAGAGTCTGTCTTTGGCGTGTATGTATCTGAAGCGCTGTATGTAATAGAAGACGAGCCACGCTAGCGAGATGACCATCAGTACAATGAATGATATCGACACGAACAGCACAGATGTCCTGGAACAAAAGAAATTATATAGGTATTTAAACTTCCAATTGTGGTAATTCGAGACATTATAGGTGCGCGGTGAATGCCGAAGTTCGCTTGGGGTTTGATGATTTTTTAAAAAAAAAAACTTCCAGTTTGTTCCTTACATTTAAAAAAAAGCGTTGCGTCAAATTATCATTTTCTCCTGTGTCGTGGGTGCGTTTACAAACATACAATTTCACATACACATCACACCCAGACCCGGAACAACAAGTTGTGGATCACTCAAAGAGTAGTCCCGCGCGGGAATCGAACCCGCGACTTACACACAACACTTAGCACAGAGCTAGATTATAGTCTGGAAAAGCACATGGGGTATTTTTTCCATTAGTGCGATTGAAGACACTGGGAGAAACTAGTAACTAATATTATTACTAGGAACATAATATTAGACACACGACCAAGACTATGAAATCGAAACCTATTTACGTGTTACTTCTTTTTATTAAAAAAAAATACATAACCCGTCCAGTTATTGCCTACCGGGTTTTACCTCTAGTACAATAATAATTACTATTATGTATTGAAGAAAAACAGTAAATAGATAACATTATATAAGCGTTGCATGTGGCATGCAAACTGTAATGAATAAGTTAGCATTAAAAAACAAGTTTTATGATACAAAGTTTGCATACTTCATCCTATAGAAATGATTATTGTATTTCTATGTTTCTAAGCGTCCCTCCGAATCGGAGTAGAAGAGGGCACGGGTTGGTTTTTAGTTAGGGAATGTCTGATACTAGTGATACTTCCTCTGACCTTAACAGTTTTTATAAAGGAGCTCTAATCAGGATTTGCAGAACTAGTCAGATTCAAAACTTCAATTCTTATATTTCGACAGTGTTCTCAAAATTTTGTAGGGAAATATATTTGTGACTTCTTTTGTTTTTCGAGCCAGCCAACTAGCAAACAGTTTTATTTCTTGAAAATCAGTATTGTATTAAAATACGAATAAGGCCAGTAAGAAAATGAAAAAAAAACATTTTTTTTTTATATAACTTATCTTAATATCTGTAATCTACCCAACATGGTTTGGACTAAGTCACACAAAGAGAATACCTAGTACCTCACTACAACATTGGTTTACGGGCCCTGATGATTAACCTAACTACTACAATAACTAGCTAAATAGAAAATTTTAAAAAAGCCCCCGACACATAAAACATAAGCTACCTTTAAAAAGTATATAATACAATAAAACATAATTGTAATCGTTTCATCCGTTCAGGAGCTATGATGCCACAGACACACAGACAGACACTTCAAACTTATTAAAGTTTGTTTTCTGTGACGTACAAGTCATAACCTTTCATTTGATACTTCACTTAAGCATATTTGCAGACATTCAGTTTTTCTTCCCCACTTTAACCCCCCATTACTTTTAAAAGGCTCAATCGATTTTCATCAAACATTTCTAAGAACACTCGCCCGTAAAACACCTGTTAAACAAAAAAACTAAATTGAAATCGGTTCATTCGTTTAGGAGCTATGATGCCACAAACAGACAGACAGACACGTGAAACTTATAACACCCCTCTTTTTGCGTCGGGGTTTAAAAATAATTAAAAAGGAATAAAATTAAGGTGTCCATAAACCTTTGCTTTGGCGTATAAATTCCTGGCATCCTGGCATCTAAGACCCACGTAACAAATATAAGCATATTATTCATATACGCAACCATTAAGGTATTCGAAATAATTTATTACATTCTATATAAAGACTGAAATATGTTTGTTTATTTTGGAATTGGCAACTACCTCTGTCATCGCACGCATTTTGCATACGAAATGTCAAAGGAACTGGCCAATGTAAGTTGGTATTTCGATGTGGCGGTACTTGTTTAGAGAAGGATTAAGGGTTAAGGTGAAATGTTTAGTTGCGTTTACTTCCGTGGGTCTTAATATATTGGTTGTGGAAATATTTACGGTTTTGGAGGTATTATTTCTTATGAATGCAGAAAGAGAGGTGAGATGACGAAACAGTTGCATTGATGCAAATAATAGGAGTATTCAGAAGATACAGTTCTTAAAAACTGACTCTCAAGCCTTCAAGGACGGAGTATTGCTTCCTCACTCAACAATTCGTTGCTATAGGAGCTATATGTGCGAGAAGCTAAATCTCAAGCTAATGAAAAATATTCCCGAGTTAAACATTGACCTACTCCAGTGGGATTTTAGTTAGGGCTAAAAACTAGTACTTAAGTTTATAAATGCATCTATTATATCGATAACATAAATAATCCTACTAAGAGCTATTCGTAGTACTAAGGGAAAGCGATTAAGTGTAATTTTTCTTCTAACAAAAGCCTTGCCGTTCATTAGGATTTTCTCCTGTTCCGTGGGTGTAGCTTACAAGCATACAAATCTAGACCCGAAACAATTTGAGGATCACGCAAAGAGTTTTTACATAGAAATGCAGTCAGTTCCACAGCCACCGCGTCAACCGTGCAGTCAACTTCACAATGCATTAAAAAAATAAACTTACTTGTTAATATTGTTGCTGACGTGAGCGAATGTCCTGCCCTTGATAATCCCGATGGTGACACGAGTGCCGTTGTCCACCAGCCGAGCTATTTCCTCGCCCTTCCATTTGTATGTGAACACCGCACTTATGTTACCTGCAATTCAATAACATGTATGAAGAATATGCTAGAAAGTACTTAAACCTATTTATTCTTATATAAGTTAATTTCTGCATAATTTTAAACTTTTCGTTGATTAGGGACAAATTGTCAAGTGTCTAAGTGACTTCTTGTGCTCTGGGTAAGGCGAGAAAGACTTATTCCGCTCTGGGTAAGGCGAAAAAGACTTATTCCGCTCTGGGTAAGGCGAGAGGGTCTCTAGGTTAGGCAACAGGGAGTGTCCAAATCTTACTGACTAAAAACTACCCCGTTTCTCCTCCTGCTCTGAGCCAAGACTGTATTTGAATTATGTGACTGTTTGAAAATAAACCATCAAGAAATTTGCCAAAATTCCCAAAGAGATTTGGTTTTAATCGAGCGAAAGTCATTACTTAGGACACATTCTCTTATCTATCGATGGTATACTTCACTTCTTATCTATCCTGAGATACTTCAGTTAAACTGAATATATTTTTGTTTACAAATTACTAATTTCAAGCTACCTTTGACCATCTCTGAACCAACTAAGAACATTCGATTCATTTCCTAAAATTTTGCTATTTTTCAAAGACAACACAATATTCCTCTATGCTGTTTGTCCATGTTATCCAAACTAATATTATAAATGCGAAAGTAACTCTGTCTGTCTGTCTATCTTTTGTTCACGCCTAAACTAGTGAACCGATATCTGTGATATTTGGTACAGATATAGTTTGGAACTCGAGAAAGGACATAGAATAGTTTTTATACCGAAAATCTGCAGGAAGTCACAATTCCACGCAAACGGGATCGCGGGCAAAAGCTAGTATAATATAATTAAAAAAAACTAAGTAATACAACATAAAACAAAAATTAATCAGCAAATTACTATTATAAATATTTATTTCTATAAATGCCAACAAAATATAAATTTTCACTGCTATTGTTTTGAGTGCATTATGTAACAGTCGTACCTACCTACAATATTACTTAATATAAAAGAAACGTGTCTTCATCAGAGTATTGCAATGCGTTATTATTACAGAATATTAATATTACCATCTAATGAAGATAGCTCACACAACATTAAAAATAATAAAAAAGATTTTTCAAGATTGAGAGACTTGCTTCGGCGCGAAAAGGTTGGCTCGATCACAGTCTCACAGCAAATCGACGTGAAACAATCACAGCGTTGTGTTTCGCCGTGTGAGTGGGGTTGCTGAAGCCCAATCTTTGCCCTCTCCTTATCCCTCCTCAATTCCAAAATCTCAAAAACCCTAATCCCCAAAAAAATATGATTTCAGCCCCTCTATTCACAAAGAAACAAACATAAATCTTCAACACAGAAACAAGGAAAATGTAATGATAAAACAAAAAATATTTCTCCTAGGTAACGCATTACTTACGACTAGTTTTTGTTAAGTCTGCAAGCAATTCGCTCAGTCTGGCCTGACTCGTTTTTACGTAAATGACTAACACAGGTCCAAAGACCAAACTCATTATGCTAGCCGCCATTAAAATAAAAAAAGCGTCTAAACTGCCTCTTTGGTAAAGACGTCATTTACCTATCCAAAAATATGCGGAATACAATAACGACTTAATCACATAAACTTTATTTATAGTAAGTTAGTCTAGTCGGATTTTAAAACTAAAAAATATGTTAAATTATAAGTTAAAGTGTGGGAGAGCCATGCTTCGGCACGAATGGGTCTGCTCGATCGGAGTGATTCCATGGAGTCACAGAAAACCGACGTGAAACAACCACAGCGTTGTTTTTCGCCGTGTGAGTAAGGTTACCGGAGGCCCATTGCTCTCCAATCCCTAAATTGCTAAATCCCTAATCCCGAAAAGGTCGGCAAAGCACTCGTAACTCCTTTGTTGCGGTTGTCCATGGGCGATGCTGATTGCTTACTACCTAGTATGCGTCTGCTCGTTTGCCACATAAAAAAATATGTGCATTATTTACGGCATTTTGCATAAACACAACAGGTTTTTTTTTGTTATATAAATATCAACATTTTCAATTCCGTGATTCGAAAAACCAAGTTACATTATTTTACAACTATAAGCTCTTTAACCTTTCGTATGTTTTTAACGTGGATCCACGCGAGACACAATGTATTTTCTATTGTGTCTCATAAACCGACATTCAACGGGTTAAACGCACTTTATGGGTAAGCGCATAACTCAACAACGCCTGGACCAATTTTGCTAATTCTTTTTTTGTTGTGTTTGTTATTGTCAGGAGAAGGTTCATCAAAAAAAAAATATTAGAAAAGTGGAGGGGAAGATTAGGAAAAAGTGACCCTTTGATAGCGAGATAGTTGGACACGTGCGATGCGGGGGCGGGCCGCTAGTCTATACCTAATATTATGTATGAAGAGGTAAAATTTGTAAATTTGTATGTATGAAGTAATCTTTGGAACCGCTGGTCAGATTGCCAAAATTCGTTCACTGATACATAGCTACAATGTTCCCGAGTGCTATAGGCTATAAAACATCAGGCTACGATCAAATGGAGCCGAGCAGCGGGTGAAACCGCGCGGGATTAGCTAGTGTATTATACATATAATAAATGGGTTTGAATACAAATAAGGAATGACGATGTTCACTGCCCGTCCACGTGATGTCGTCAGCTAAGCCGACAGCTTACTACATGTGCAACAACACCCCTAATGCGCATAATGTGATCATATGGTTCAGGTTTCACTGTCAAGGCGACCATGTCTCAGTCGATTATACAATTACACTGCTACACTAAAAATAGACTTAAGCTCTTTAGGGTTAAGTCAAAGAAAGGGCGAGAGAACAAATTGTGTTATGTAAGTTTAGTTCAACATTGAATGACACGAAAATAATGCATTAAGATGTCCTTTAAAACACGAATTTTTTTGGTATTCTTAAAACAGAACCAGTTCCTTCAACTAATATTTCAAAATAAAATTAATAGTTTATACAAAGCATTTTTGTAATGTGACAAATCGCGTATTATGCGTGAGATTGCTGTACCAATGTGACTTTTTCCAAATTATATGTACTTTCTGTAATTATTTAGACACCACTGACGTATACAGAAGGAAAACATCGTTAGAAACACTGGATTTACACTTTCAAACTTTTAATAATAGGTTTTTACCTATGAAATTGCCGTTTTGCATGAAAAAATTTAAACGAATTTTTTGTTTTGAAATGCGATGAAAACGAAACACTAATCAATAGGAAAAAGGATCCCATGTTTTTGAAACAAAATTAATTAGCCTTAGCCTAACAAAAACTATTTTGATTTGAAATGGCCAATACTGCAGAACGGCAATTTCATAGGTAAAAACCTATTATTAAGCAAGAATTAATGCTCAAACCTTCTCCGTGTGAGAAGAGGCCTCAGCAGTGGCCACTTCTCCGTGTGAGAAGAGGCCTCAGCAGTGGCCACTTATAGGCTTATGAAGAGAACAAAGCATTAGTAACTGTTTTAATGAAGCAAAGAAAGTAGGGGATACTAATAAATCTGAGGTTTATCGCAGCGTAGCCAAGACTCTCTTATGCAAATAGAAGAAAGTCATACTCCAACCCGAATGGGCGGGGTCGACCGAACTGATACTACAAACCATGTTTTTTATTTTGTCAAGGCAAAAACATCAAATGACTTCACCCGCCCAGGGTAAGGTGAGAGAGAGTGACTTATTGCGCTTAACCCCGGCTGCGAAACCATGCTTGCGTTGTTCTTCGCAGTTTGAGTGGGGTTACAGGAGGGTCGGCTCTACGAATCTTCAAACCCCAATACGATAGTTTCCAACTAGTCAAATTCAATACTTTTATCCAAATGTCAAAAACGATACGTTTATAAATTCATAAATTTGTATGAAAAACTAATAATTAGCTTCAAAATATCTAAAACTTAGTGTATCGATCGATCGATCGATGAATAAAAGTATAGTTATTTTTCAATATTTTATTGTATTGAAATATCGAATTAATTTATTTTGACCTAGGAAACTACCCAATTCCCTATGGTGTTGCTGACGTGCAAGGGCACCATCGATTGTCTATCATTAGGTGACCATAATACTCTTTTCGCACCCTATTCCAAAAAAATATTTTCACTTCTTTATGAGTAGGTTACATATTGGCCAAAATTATTGTTAAAAGTTCGTTTCACCTGTACCTGGTGCTTACTGAGACACGGAGGAATTTGAACAAAGGATATTCAGCCACATATTTGACGTGGAAAGAATATAACAATGTGCGAAATTGTTTGTTACTTTGTCATACGCTTAAATTTTATTACTTATAAAATACAGCTGATCAATTTATCAATTTGGATATCATATTGTCTGGAACCGCTTGTTTATTTGGAATAAAAATCGTATAGAACTTTTATTGTGTAAGCTACAAATGCCTTACTCAACTGATCATAATAATAACTGCAAAAGAAAAGATTTAGAACAATGATGTATAAAACTAAATACGTCATTGATGTAGAATCGATTTATACATTGATCAAAATATTATTGGCTGTCTCATAGCATATAATTTGTTACATTTGAGGAAAAACACGTAATTTTGTATCGTAATACTAGAGAGGAAGTGTCAGACCTTACGGACTAAGAACCACCCCGTTACGCAGACACCATCAAAATGCATATAATTATTATTAGGCGTTAATTTCCAAAATGTTTTCATGTTGATTATTGCTATTTTTTTTACATTTATATTTTATTTTTATTGTTTCGTGGCTTGCCTTTTGTTGTTTGGGGCCAGTGTCAAAAGCTGTATGTTACTTTACAGAATCAAAAAAAAAATATAAAAAAATCGGCTTCTTATCGGCCGTTCCTTCTTCCTGACATCCCTGACATAGAAGTGCTTGCAAAATATGTAAACAACTGCAGTAAAAAGTAGAGTTTAAGTGCTAAATAACTTAAAAACAAGCCATGGTAAATAATAATTTATTCTCTTCAATACACGAAGATGTGAGACCTTTGTCAACAATTACGCCATCTAGCAAACTGTGCGTGTATTTAATGAGAGCCGTGGTCTTTGTTCAATTAATCAATACATGTTTGATTTAATGCTTCCTCGCATTGTTTTATCCATTATTATACATCGGGTTTATGGATTTATATCTAGAAATTTGACTCGCATGACGTTCATCTTGATTGTTCACATTTTTTTTTAATTTAAAAATATTATGAGGTACCTACTACTTTTTGTCGTCTACTATAAATATCTATCGTTTTTTGGACTTCCTACCTAGCTTCTGCACTATTTCCCACGTTTTATGGCTCCTATTGGTTGTTAACCTTCATCAACAACCAGACTATTTAACACGAAAATAATTGTTAAATTCGAAACAGTATAGTTCTGGAGATAAGAGCGTACAAACAAACTCATCTTCTTTACAATATTCATATTCATTAGTTTCCAAGTCTAACTATGTTTTATGAAACATGTGCCGGTTCTCTGATTCCAAATGATGTTTAAAAAAAAACAGTACATACCCATTAAAATAAAGTTTACCGCGATTACAAAAAAAAACCAGCTGTTGTCTTGTGTACATTATTTTATCAATAAACACCTAATTACTAATATACATACAGTTTATTTTTAACCATCAATATCTGCCTTCTAAATTCAATTGTATTTCTAAATATTTATTGATTGTCAACATTGTTTCTCAGTATCAATTTGACACAATTATCGTTCTTAAAACGATTCAATAAGAGTCATTATCGTAGTTTAAAGTCTTACCTAATTCTACACGTGTATCGACTGGTCAAGATCCTTTTTTTGTATTAAGAATAACACGTGTAGCATGCGTGTCATCCTTGTTAATTTTAGAAATCCGATAATTACACGGGCCATTTCACCCAGGTTAAAAGTCAGTGTTGCATAACTGTTTATCAATACATATTTGACATTTCAAGTTGTTTTTCGAAAATAGGAAATCATGTTACCTACTGACTGCAAGTGACATGAAGCAAGGAGAGTTCCAGGTAAAATATACCCCATTTTACATGGAATCGAACCTGGAACTCTGCTTGATCCCACCTTCTTCATTTACCACAGACTGGCCCCTGTAGGGCTGATGTACAGCCGGGGTTGCGGGGCACGCGCTTACTCTTTCGAAATCATTTAAAGCATTTAAAAAGTATGACGTTTTGTCTGTTGAGTAATCTAGCAAAAAAATCATCAATGAGCCTAGTCACTATTACTCTATCTTTCCAAACAATTACGAAGATAAGAGGTCGTTGCATCATTTATGATGACAGGCCCAATGAGAATAAGCACGGTCATGCTGCCAACCGCTAATACCATTCAAAACTAAAAATGATGAATCATTCTAATAAAAAAAAAAAAACAATCATTCATAACTGACATTCTATCATACACTTTGACATTTAGATGAACTATTGCCATCATTTAAAAAAGAACACCAATTTAAAGATTATTTTAATTCCGAATACAAAAAACTGACAGCATTTTATGCTTTATGTACCAACGTGCAATTGTCCAACTAAAATTCGGCAAACGATGACTTTCTTGTACTTAAAAAAAGTTTATATTTTATCTATTACAACTGGCAACATTGAAGTCTGCCATCAAACGACCAACATAAACTCCAAAAAAAAAAAAAAAAAATCAAACGACCAAGGTTAACAAGTTCCCGCGTGTTTGTACCTGTATCTAGTCTGTTATTTAGTGTTTTGTGTTCAAGGCGTAATGACGTCCGCGTTTATGTCAAATTAATTGTTTTCCGCCGGCATCCATTGGACCAATTTAATAATAATAACAAACAAGTATCAAAGAAGGAATTTATATAAAAATTGTCTCCTTTCAACCATTTGTTCGTCAGCGTAAACGTGAGTTTTTTTTTTATTATTTAAAAGTCGTTTTGTTTATTTAGGTGCCTTGAGCGTTTGATTCGAGTGTTTTATTATTTCCCTACAGCGCTGTTGATTTTAGTTTTCCTGTTATGTTCCAATTTTAAATATTTCTATACAACAAAAAAAATTACAATGTATGAGTTATTATTATGTAAATTACTGAGGAATTGGGTAGTTTTCTAAGTTAAAAAAAAATATTTTGACTTTTCAATACGATTAATTATTAAAATATACCTAATCTTACTTTCATTCATTGATTTGGCGATGTATTTAATGTCAGATTATATCTAGTTAACTTTTTAAAAATAATAATATTGTTTGTCATTCAAATGTCATAAAAAACATTGCAATTTCGTACAAAATTCATAGAAAAGTATCGTTGTTGATATTTCTATAAAAGTATTGAATTTGACTTATTGAAAACTACCGAAATTATACTGTATTCGTATTGCGAAAAATGCGACCAAAATTTCACAATTTTAGCGATTTATGTGCAGTGTTTTCTCATTATGCTTCAACGTTATCAAAGTCAAATATAGACTTAAGTATGTTCCGTTATCAAATACTTTGATTCTTTTAAAAACATAACGCTCATAGGTATTCTAAATGCACATGTGATTCAGTAACAGCTTTATAATAACATAAAGTTTGTTTGACGTCACTGTTTAACTTGTACAGCAACTTCAAAACTCGTAAATAAATGTCAGCCTTTGACATTACGAAAATAAGTTAGGTAGGTACATGTGACCAAGTAGTTGTCGACATGGCTCTACTCCGGAAATATAAGTACAGTCGTACTTACTCATCGTGCTAACATGTTGATTAAGGCACAGATAATAAATCACAACTCACTGAATAGCATAAAACAAAGTCGCTTATCGTTGTGTCTGTACATATGTTTGTTGTGATCTATAAAACTACGTGACACATTTTGATGCGGTTTTTTTTTATTCAAAGATAGAATTATTTAGGAGAAATGTTTTGGTGTAATTGATTAACGTTCATAATGTGATTAAGGAAGCTAATAAATAACTTCGTATGCCTATACATATATGTATAAGTCTATTGTGTAATAAAATATTTCTTCTAAAGCTTACATCTACTGATTCGACAGTTCATCAAATAAAAGAAATTAAGTCACTATGTATATTTCAATTTCCCAAAGGAGTAGTACCTATTGAGGACAAAATCGCGATCAAATACTTCGTAAACAAATACATAATATATATGTTTGTATTTAATCAAAGATATATAAACAGTACATAACATTTAATTAAACAATATTGAATGTACCAACAGCTTAATTATTAACTAGCTATTCTCGCGCGGTTTCACTCGCTAATCGGCTTCTAAAGATCGTGATGTTGTATAGCCTAGGTATATCACTGAGAAACAATTTAGCTATCTTTCAGTGTAAGAATTATGGATATCCATCCAGCGATTGCAAAGATTATCCTCTACATACAAACTTACAAATTACATATTTTACCTCTTTATAATATTAGTATAAATATAGATTTAAAATACGATCGTGAACTCCCATAAAGTCAAGGTATTTTATTATAGAACATCCAAGGCTATAAAAATATCATAGACTATGTACCTATCATTCTAATTATAGCGGACTCACACTTAGTTTTTTTTTTCTAATAGGCACAGAGTAAAAAAACATTCGATTTGGTTACAAAACTGGATATGCATGACGCACTGGCCAATCTGCCACAGATTATTATGTGTTCTTAATTTATTTTTAACCTCGTACATTTTTTTTTTATTAATTTGTGACGTGGTTGAGGCATCATATGGTATGCCTACTATTTAATTATTTTTGTAGTAGGTAGGCTATTAATCACTGTTCTTTCTGTTATTGTTATTTCATGTTATTAACACCTACATACTGTTCTTCATTATTTGCAATTTTTCCCTAAAAGACCGATGATCTGTCTCGGCTGCTCGGTGTTCTCATTAAACGCTTGTAAAATCTATTAATTGTAAAATATTTTATTCCTTGTAAATTGAATGATTTATCATGGCATGTGTGTAATACATTCTTGGTTAAATACGAATAAATTGAAAACACGACATCTTTATATATAAAAAAAAATTCGTGTCACGTGTTTGTCGGAGCGATGGACTCCTAAACTACTAAACCGATTTTAAATTTGATTGGCATTCCGTGTGCATTTTGATCCAACTTGAAAGATAGGATAGCTTACATCTCAATTTATAGTCACAATATTATTTACCTTAGCCACAGCAACGCGTGGCTGAGTTTGCTAGTAGTTTTTATTGCTTCAATTAATTCTCAATACCAAATCCTGACTTTATATTATTTTGTCAACCAAAACATTAGACTTGTATAGTACTTACAACCGGGACTAACGGCGGGTCAAGCGCAATTAGGTACCGGGGCCTCAGCCTGTGGTAGGAGAAGGAAAGGGGGAATTTTTATTCAGTAAGAGTCTGACTCCTCTCCATACCCTGGGCGAGAGAAGTTATTTGACTATTCATTTGTTTTTAAATGTTTACAGGTTAACAATAAAAATGGCGGATATAGCAGAGGACGCGAAATGCATAGTGCACACAGCGGACGGTCCTATTTGTGGATATTCTGAAAAGACTGACGAAGGAGTTTGTTATAAGTTTAAGAGTATACCTTATGCTAAACCACCAATAGGCAACTTGAGATTCCTGGTAAGATATCAGTCTATTAAACATCAATCTTAATTACTTATACTACCCCCTTTTTAATTCATCAATCCCCAAGCGATTCGATCTCGTACCTTCTTTCATTGTGTTCTTATATTGTGTTTCGAATTACCACGATAGAGAGGTTAAAATCCAATTTACCGTCATTAGTTTCTACCCAGTATTTTTTTACGCCTATTTTGTAAGCCCGAAAATAATCCAACCAAATGGAGTCGTATTAATAAAGCATTTTACAGATTCAAATCCAACTAATTAGCAATCCAAGAAATAATACCTATACTTTAAATTCTAGTAATTTGCAACTACTAATGGATAGTGATGTTAGCAGCTATTTTTAATACCATAGTCTACAATAATATGTTTAGGTAACTAAATGTAAACCTGGGCAGCGCTTGTTTATATAAAAGTTGTCTCAAAATTGTATTTAATAATGTTTGCAATCAGAAATCAGTGTTCGCTTATAAACTAAATTTTAATAATCTTTGTTATGTATTTTATACGACCTCTTTAATATAAAAAGACATACCAAGATTGCTTACCTATAGTTAATCAACTAGACCGACAGACCATAAATATATTCACAAACCTATATTTAAAAAAAAAAAGAATGAACCTATATTTAGTAAGAGTCTTTACATAAATTAGCTTCGTAAAAAGACCATAGTAAATAAGTTTTGCAAGAACAAGAGCTTAAGCTAACTACATTTTATTTGTGTACAGTAATTTGTAGGTTATTATTTTTAATTACACATCACCTGTTGAAGGTAGTCATTAGCTATATTGTTTTTGCCTTGTGTCAAATTCTTGAAATATAATGTATAATATATTATGTACATTTTTCCCGGACTCGTATCGGATCAGTAAAAAGGTGGACCCTGTGGGCATTGGGCATTTGTTAACACAGTGATATGAAAGAAGATTTTCCTTATATAAAAACGCGTTGCTCCCGTCCACATTTGACAAATTACTTGATTTATTTATTTCGAACGATTTATCTGCGATTTTTTTCATAGTTTATTCATATTTTACAGCCTCCATCCCCGATACCACCATGGACAGAAGTATTAGACTGTACGAAAGACGCTCCGACGCCCATCTCTCGATCAGTGTACGATATCATCAGTGGTTCTGAAGACTGTCTATACATTGAGCTCTCTACACCAAACATTAAACCTGACAAGCCAATTCCAGTGATGTTTTGGATAGGAGGATACGGCTACACGTGTGTCTTAGACGCTATATTAGATGCCACGCTACTCAACGATCAAAATGTTATATTTGTAAGGTGTGGCCACCGAACGGGTCCTTTCGGATTCCTCTCCATAAACGACTACGCTGCACCAGGAAATTGCGGACTCAAGGATGTAGTTATGGCCCTTAAATGGGTACAAAGAAATATAAGCAGCGTTGGCGGTGATCCAAACAATGTCACCATTTTCGGAAGCTCTTCAGGTGGAGCCATGGTCAACTTTATGATGTTATCGCCAATGGCCACCGGATTGTTTCACAAACTTATCATACAGAGTGCCAGCGTTTTGAATAACTGGTCTTTAGCTAAGAACCCTTCATTAGGCGTTATAGAGCTGGCAAAAATACTCGGCATTGAGAAGACATCTAAGCAGGAAATCGTTGAGGAGTTACGAAGGATCCCTGCGGTGGATATCACTGAAGCTTTTCGAAACTTTAAGATTGGATTTAGCGAAGGTGTTGAAAGCGATTTAATTGATTCTGTGTTCAAACCCTGCATTGAAGTAGACTTAGAAGGACAGGCTTCATTTATCACAAAGAGTCCAATAGTAATACTGAAGTCTGGGAACTTTAACAAAGTGCCTTGTATCATTGGAAGTAATAATATAGAGGGCGCAGTGTTACAATACGTTGTAGACAATTTTTGTTCCAATTTCGAAAAGTATAATGAGAATATCAAACTCCTTGTGCCTCGGGAATTGGCGAGGAGAGACAGAATGTCTGACAATATAGGTCATCAGATTATGAAGTTTTATTTGGATGGAGAAGAGCATTTGAGTGAGAAAAATAGGACTCAGTATTTGCAATTGATCAGTGATTATTATTTTTCATATTATGTTAATAAAACTGTGAGGTTACTATGTGAATCTGCTGCTTCGTATCCAATATATTACTACATACTGAACTATGCTGGGGAATGGGCAGTGCCTAGTAGATTAAATTTCTTCAACTCTACTGGGCACGGTGCGGAGCTACCATTCCTGTTTCGTATAAAAATGCCCGAAGTTTGCAAAGGCAGTCCAGATTCTATAACAACTAGGAAGAGAGTGATCAAAATGTGGACTAATTTCGCTAAAACTGGGTAAGAATCAATCAAAAATTTCTAAATGTCTTTTCAAAATTTATTGAATTTCTTTTTTTTTTGCGCTAGTTATTAAGATTCATATTCCCATAACTACTACTGTTTTGTCTTCTTTTATGAAAAAGACTTTTGTTAGAATTTTCTTCTTCTACTTACATAATTATTTACACATATCGCAGCTAACAGGTTAAAATAGCCGTTCAATAAGCTACCCCTAAGCCGTTTGATTGTTTGGATGAATTTCTCAACTAGGCAGTAAGTTGAAAGATAAAGGGATTGTCATAAAAACCGAGTTTCAACCAGGGTGATAGGAAATCGAATCGCCATTACAAATTAACAGCTACGAAATCATTTATCAAACAGTCTAGGTCGTTATTTTAATGGCAGGTTAAGCTTGACTGACACATACCATCACTAATTTTAACTAACAATTACAGAAACCCAACGCCGGATCCCGACGACCCACTGCTCTGGATAACTTGGGACCCAGTCGAAAGCAAAGAAAAGCTGAACTACCTCAGTATAGGACAAGAACTGACAAAGGGCAGGAACCCCTTCCAAGAACGAATGAAATTTTGGGATGAACTACATAAAGAACACATGTTCTTGAGAGCCTTGGTACATTTTAATGACTCAGGATATTCTGTGTGTTGATGTTAATTATAATATTTGAAATATATGTGATGATCTAAAACTATTATTGCGTCCAATCAAATATACTATATGTAGACACAATATCGAAGTTTTCTTGTGTTCCAATGAGTTTTTTTATGTGATAGGTTGGCTAAAGAGCAGTCGGATTACCTGATGGTAAGCAATCAGCACCGCCCATGGGCACAATAATGGAGTTAAGTGCGTTTGGACAGGATTCGACCTCCGGTAACCTTACTCAAACTGCAAAACACAACGTTGTGGTTGTTTTTTTTTTATGTAATAGGTCGACAAACGAGCAGACGGATTACCTGATGGTAAGCAACACTAACGACACTCGCAACGGAGGAGTTACGAGTGCGTTGTCGACCTTTTAGGGATTAGAAATTTGGAGATTTAGGGATTGGGGGAGGGGAAGTATTGGGCCTTCAGTAACCTCACTCATACGGCGAAACACAACGCTGTGGTTGTTTCACGCCGGTTTCTCTGTAAGGCTGTGGTATCACTTGTCGAGCCGGTCCAATTCTGCCGAAGCATGGCTGTCTACATAGAAAATCAATTTTCATTTGCTATGTGGCACATATTACAAACCAATTAAGTACGTTGTAAAACAGGCATTAGGACTAACCGAAATTTAACCAGATGTACTTTAGGAACTAGATAATTAATTTCAAAACTGAAACTAATCTAACGTTTATTTTGAACTAGCTGACCCGGCAAAATCCGTACCACCTCAATGTTCCTGACCTTTCAAACCTTCACTGGACTTCAACGAATATTTTAAGACTAAAATTATCCAAAACGGACTAGCCGTTCTCGAGTTTTAGCGAGACTAACAAACAGCAATTTATTTATATTGAAATATAAATAATAATTGTATTTTTATATTTAATATTATTATTTATATTTACATTAAAATATAATTATATAAAAATGAATTGTTGTTCGTTAGTCTCGCTAAGATATATAGGCAAACCAATGTACTGAAGATAATATTATAACGATTGTAATTCATAGCCGCATTAAATGGAAAACAATTCAATGATACTTGCCGGTTAGCCTTGTACACCATAACTGTTCGTACAACACAAGTACCTGTGAACTGATTAGTAATAACATTATGACACCTGCCACTCGAAGGAGTAGGCAGGGATGCATATTTTATTCATTAGCTACTTTATAAGTTACCAATTACAATAAGAGCCAAGTCTATTCCGAAAGAATCTGTGATTGCTGTCGATTTCTTTATCAAATGGTGATATGAAATACACATGGTACCAAACCATGTGTATTCTCGAAACCTAATGGTTGTCGTTAAAAAAGGTTAAAAGGTTTTCAAAGGTTAACTTGACACTTAATAAAGACCACGGTGCAATTCGAAACTAGTCGGGCATTTCTCGAAACAAACCATTTACAAATGCCATAACAAAACATATTTTAAAGTAAAAAAAATCTGAATGTGCTCGTAAAAAACATAGTCATTAATATATTTTTCTCGATAACATTTACATATGTAGCATGTACCATTCTGTCAAGGAGATCAACATATACGTAAACAGCTCTGTGTTGCCAGCTCTTAAGTTATTTATTGCAGTATAGAATAAGTATTAATGTCATAAATCGATTACCCTTTCACTTCCCTTCCTGGTATGACGACATATGTATGTACAGACATCAGGTCAACCTACTCTATCTGCGAATTTATTTCATTGGATTTTCAACTGTATCTCAAGAACAGAAAGTTGAAAAGGAATTTGAAGAAAGGTGTAGCTTGAGATGCTGGCCCATGTACTAAATCTGTTCAGAATAGAGTGGTTTATGGTGTCTGTGTTAAAGAGAATGTATTGCAGCCTGTGGTGGGTTATTTTGTATACATCTTATTGCGAAGAAAATTATAATTATTGTGACTATACTAATTTAATGAGAAACGATAAATTCACTTTTATTTTTTTCTAGAGTAGAGGTTTAGAACGGACTTTTTAGCTTACTAAGAAACGACCGAGTTAGAGCGGACTGACGCCTGAAGTTTTTGTTGTTTTGGCACAGAAATCACTTTTGATTTGTTGGACCTTCCCTTAGTTATCACTACATAGTAAAAAACAAAGTCGCTTTCTTTTTCCCTTTGTCCCCTATGACTGCCAGTATATTTAAAACTACGCAACGGATTTTGATGCGTTTTTTTTTTCGTTACGTAGGGTATTTTAAGAGGAAGGTTCATATGTATAGTAAGATCCATTAAATAGTGGAGAAAAGTACCAGCATTTCTTCCGTGCGATGCTGGGGCGGGTCCCTAATTAATTACATAAAATCTTTTTGACTGTTTAGCTAACAACACGGATTATGATATACAGCTTGGGAACAGACGGACAGACACACAATGGAGTCTTAATAATAGGGTTCCCGATTTTTTTCTTTGGAAACGGATAGAAGATCAAGGGTTGATATCCATTGTTTATAATAAACTTTGAAGAGAAGAGACCAACATATTTTTGGAGATTAGGGAGACGAATTATGGAGAACGAATTTCATTGAAAAGTAAGCAGTATAAAAATCTGACTATTAGTTGGTTAGCTCGTAACTGGCTAATGTATATGACCTACTGCCTATAACCAATACTCTAAACCACTTGTATACATAAGCTATGAGCGTACCTTATAATAAATAAATAAATTAGACATTTTGTCTAGACAAAATACTCAAAAGCAAATAAATCTACTAAAATAATAATGAAGTCTTCTTACCAAGATTATAAAATGAAACAAATTACGTTATTCAATTTAGATTTCTAAGTATTATTAATTGATCTAAAAATACAATTACCGCCGCGCCCGGGTCAAGAACCTTGTGTACCTACGTACATAGGTACCTTATAAAATATCTTAACTAAATAAGTTAAGGAGTTACTAAATCCAATCTATTTTTGCAAACTGATTTTGCTTTACACTTAAAATTCATTAAAATCTTCTGTAAATACATTAACTAAGTAATTAAATACTTTGTCTTATTTTTAGTACTAAGTATTAAAGTTTAAAACACAAGCTGCACAAGCAGTTTTAATGGGTTATCGATTTTATTGTAATACCACAGAAGTTTTTGGTGCTTTCTATATTTTAGTAATTAAGAACTATTTACGGGACTTTTTTGGGTCTTTCTTTTCAGCATATTGACCACGACGATATTCTTTCTATTTTGCGTAAGTATATAATATATGCCTGCGACAAATATTATGTGTCGCAGGCAACCAGCTTAATAAACCAGCTTAATAATTTTTAATTAGCAGCGGAGAATGTAATTATGAGAATCGGGTGGTTTCCTAGGTCAAAAATAAATTAATTCGACGTTGCAATACAATAAAGTATTGAAAAATAACTATACTTTTATTCATCGATCGATCGATACACTAAGTTTTAGATATTTTGTAGCTAATTAATAAAAAATAATTAAGCAATTCGACGCAAAAATATTACGTAGTCATAACCCAGTTTTTCATACAAATTTCATAGAAAAGTACCGTTTTTGACATTTGGATAAAAGTATTGAATTTGACTACTTAGAAACTACCGTATTAATTACCACGCTTGCTCAACTCGGATTGGTAATTTCAACTAATAATTAGAAATTATAAGTTCACGATTTCCTCACAATATTTTTCTTCACCGTATGTCTAAATAATTTAACTTGGAATAAGTCTTATAGGCATTTGTCATGTTTCCTAGAAACGCCTTAATCGCAAGACCAGCACAATTTATAAATGAATCGAAAAATAATATATACATTACACGATCTCGTTTACCGAATAAAGTGTCTTCCGCGTTCAGATTTGTTTTATAAGTGTTACCGCTTAATAATTATTATAATTATTTATCGACCAGTTATAAAGAAAGAATTGTTGAGCTCCTTGAATGACGTTGTCGTACGCGATCATTCACAAGATGGCGGTTGTCAATGCAATGATTAAAAAGAAAATTCAATCTGTTTTTTAAACACAGGATTATCACTTAATATAGCAACAAAAACCACTAAGGTTTAAACTTTTGCTATCATGAATCTATTAAAGTTTGTAAAGGTTTCCTTTAAAATACTTTGGCGAATATTATTAAACCTAGGTACACTCCGAAAAAAAATGGAACGTTGCCTCCGCTATTCCTGTGTCGTGTATTTATAAACAAACAAAGCGTAATACGTTGACAGCAGCCAGTTAGATGCCTATGTATTAAATATTGAAATAGAAGAAAATCCTTAACAGACTTTCAAACCGCACATGTCTGTCTTTCTGATCACAATAAACAACTGAACGTATTTTTATAAGGTTTTATTAATCTGTGTATAGAGTGACTTCTGAAGAAGGATTAACGGCCAGTATAAATATCCGATTCCTATAGAATTTTCGCACATTTTATATGGTAAGCATTAAGGCGATAGACAGCAGCAGGTAGAACTATGATGGAAAATCTATAGTGAAATATTGTACAGCCTTGTAAAAATGCCTTTACATCATCATGATAGTATAAAACAAAGTCGATTTCTCTGTATTCTTAAATCTTTAAAACTACCCACCGGATTTTGATGCGGTCTTTTAATAGTTAGAGTGATTAAAACGGAAAGTTTATCGCATAAGTAATAACATCCATTATATAGTGGAGAAATTTAGTATCAGTATTGCACCCGTGCCAAGCCGAGACGGGTCGCTACTCGCTAGTTGAAAAACAAAATATACTTACGTCCATTGTCAGTGGACAGCTTCATTTTCTCCAAGTTGGTGGTGTCCCGGTCGTTGTATATGAGGACCGCAGTCGCGTTCGCGCGCCATGCATTCTGCACCTGGAATAACAAATCAAATGCATTCATTAATTTATGTTTGGTCAAAGAAGAAAAACAACGCTCTTAAAGATATTTGGTAGGTTTAAGAATAGCCGGGGTTGCGGGGTAAGCGCAATGAGGCACCGCGGCCTCGGCCTAGAGCAGGAGAAGGAATAGGGGGTTTTTAGTCAGTAAGAGTTTGACACTCCCTCTAGCTTTACCCTGGGCGGGAGATGCCATTCGATGATTTTCCCCTGACAAAAAAAAAGGTTAAGAAAGTAGCTTCTGTTAGAAAGTACCGCATTATATTTTGTAGAATTTATTATTAAAATATTTTAAGCATTTAAACCAGTTACTAATCAATTGGTGTTAATTAATATCACACATCTAAATATAAAAAACAAGTAATTATAAGAATAATAGTTCTGACATTTACAAGTATGAGTAAATGTAGATGTGTATGAAATCCTTAAGTTGGAACACTGGTCTTACCACTTTATATATCCGACAACCTTTCACTATTGCATATATAATATACATATTACATATATATAAATAAAGTTGTAGTATTTTTACCAAAAACAATGTGTGTATTAGCTTCTTCCAGTGGCATAACTGCCTATGTGGTATTCCAGACTATAATCCTCCTTCGTGCAAAGTTGTATCCAAATCAGTTTAGTAGTTTATGAGTAAAACACTAACATGCAAAACAAACATACTCAGATTCTTATAATCTTACTTATAATACGACTACCTAATGGTAGTTTCAACCGCTGCCGCGCTGCTCGGCTCCTACTGATTGTAGGGTGATGTTTAATTATCTATACTAATATTATTAAGCGGTAAAATTTGTAAGTTTCTATGTAGGGGGTAATCTTGGGAACCGCTGATCGGAGTTCCGAAATTCTTTCACTGATAGTTAGCTACAATATTCCTTAGTGAGGGCTATAAAACATCACGCTACGATTAAATGGAACCGAGCAGCGGGTGAAACCGCGCGATAGTAGCTAGTAGGCTATAAAACATCACGCTACGATTAAATGGAGCCGAGTAGCAAGTGAAACCGCGCGAGAGTAGCTAGTATCCTATAAAACTCGGTAACATTGTAGCAGTGACAAAATTTTATAAATGGAACCAGCTGTGTCAAAGATTTCCACTTTGACACAAACTTACAAATTTTACCTCTTTATAATATTCGTGTAGACTGTACCGGTGACTCTTAGGAATAAACAGTGTTGATACTGTATGACTTATATAGAACTGTAGACAGAAATTTTTATTCGCATAATAGTTACTTATATCCAGGTCAATCACATTGCTAAAAGGCTATAGGATCTAACTTAGCTAAGTGATAAATAATTTCAAGGCAAGAAAGGGCTTAAACGATAAACTATCACAATTAATGTTATGACGTAGGTAAGTCAGTCAGAACACCTGCATTTATACAGTTACTTGTTTACAAGGATTAAGGAAATAATTGTGGACTGTTTTGTCCTTAAGTTTCGTGCGTTGGGACTAAGTTACCGAGTCTCTTCGAATCTTAAATGATTATGATATCGTATTATCAAGGTTATTTCGGTCGTCGAATGGTGTTAAAAACTAGCTGCTTGCCCGTGACTTCGTCGGCGAAACTTAATTTATTCACCTAAACCTACCACTTAAATAATTTTATCTGTTAAAAAACATTAATCAAAATCTGTTTCGTAGTTTTAAAGATCTAAGCATACAGAGATATAGACAGAAGACCGCCACTTTGTTCTATACTATGGAGTTATGTATAATTTAAAAATGCAAGAACTTCAAAACGAACAGCGAAATTCAAAACTTATGAATATTCCGTCAATTGTAAAAAAAAGTACCTGAGTTCATTCATGTTCTCTAATTGATTTCTTTTCCTACAATAAACCACACTTACGCCTTGTAAATAAAATTACCGAAACCCAATCCTTTTCTCCGTCTTCTAACCTGAATCCTTAATATCCCAGACTTCTTTGGCATGACGAGAATCTATTGGCAGCGCCGATTGCTCACCATCCCCAATGACCCAGCTGTTAATGTAACATTAACATTTCAATACAGTTTAGCCCCTTCATAATAAATGATACCAAAACCTAATACAGTATTGTATCTGCAAAGTAATAACTACCGTGCTACATTCATGGAATTATCCGCAATGATCCAAAAACTGTTATCATTTTAATGATAGCTTGCATATGAGTGGCCATATTGATAATTTTCAGTTAGTAGGCAACACCTAATAAAGTAGTATTTATTTCGTCTGGCAATATTGGCGGATATCTAGCGATTATGCGTTGATATCAGACACTTGTGTCCTCGGTTGTAATCCTTGTTTATCCTTTGATAATGTTGTATGTTTTAGTTTTGTTAATTTTGGACATCGGGACGTTGTTGCTAAGGTACAGATGTGACGTAACGATGCGGTAGTTACGTCAAAAGTTTAGTCCCTTCATCAAGCTCGCCACTTTACGATTTTTCAATGTAATTGTGTTTGAAAGTAGTCTAACCTATTTTCTCGTTACTCAAATATGCGTAAGGTACATTATAACAAACACATACATACATGACCAGGCTTATTTAATTTGAACCGGAAATATTTTACATTTTCGAGACCCAATCCTTCCCCAATCCTCGAATACCCTTATCTCTTTAAAGGCGCAGATGTATCTCTTCTGGAGTAACCATGATCGGCGATTGCTTACCATCGGATAATCCATCTGCGAATTTGCCGCCTTATCAGTAAGCTATCAATGAATCAGCTTCAATGCAATTTTCAGATTAGACCAAGCCTGTCCAACCAAGACCTAGGCATATGACTGCTCACTCCGTTAATGGGCTTAAGTCTAAGACTAGGTTTAGTCACTAATCTTGAAGGAAACAAAACCTAAGTCGCAGACTGCTGGCAAACAGTCTTGATTAATTACATAATAGGTAGCTAAGTAATTAAGTTTACACCTTCAACGTATCTAAGGACGATGACTGTCACCTGTAAGAGTTCAAAAGAATCGAATTAAAAACATTTTTTTATGGAATAGGTCGGCAAACGATCAGACGCATTACCTGATGGTAAGTAATCAGCGCCGCCTATGGACACAACGGAGGAGTTACGAGTGCGTTGCCGACCTTTTAGGGATTAGGGTTTTGGAGATTTAGGGATTGGGAGGGATCGGGGGAGGGGAAGGATTGGGCCTCCGGTAACCTCACTCACACGGCGAAACACAACGCTGTGGTTGTTTTACGTCGGTATTCTGTGAGGCCGTGGTATCACTGCGGTCGATCCGACCCATTCGTGCTTCGCGTTAGGCTTTCTATGGCGTGTTAAAGCGTGAATCTTCTGGGCGAGAAAGAGGGATAGAGCTATAAAAGGTGTATAGCTCCATCCCTCTTTCTCGCACGAAAGATAGACGATACGTCATGGTGGGCCCTCTGAACAGTTTTGGGTCAAATAGAGTCTAGACTGCGTCATATACCACGCATTTGGGCGCAAAGCAGAACACATATGTATGGGAACAAGCTTTATAATACACAGAATTGGATTGTAAAACTGATTGAAAAAGAACGGACCATGGAGTTTCTTGCTCGGAGCTTCTTTGCCGTGGAAAAACATTTAGGAACGGGCAAATAGTTTTACTATGGTACTGACCGACAGACTGAAGCTTTACACATTTTGTTGGTCGTAAAGTTCTTAAACGAGTATTGGTCTAATTGAAACAAATATTTTTTTTTGTTTTTGAGGTAGAAAGTAACGTCCATTCAGTACTCCCATATGATAGAGGTAGAATTGTGAAATAATAGCCACACACGGGGTTTATTTTTAAATAGCGATCCGAAAATAAGATATGGGTAAGTGACTTAAGGTAAGAAGTGTTATATTAAACTTATTGTATTAGATTTTAGGAAAACTGGACGTTTTATTAATATATGAACGACAAGCGTTAGTTCTGGTGCTAAATCTGTCGAAGAATAAAAGCGAAATACCTTCGTATATATTAATATTTGGGTTCTTTCATACATTTGAGTGCGGTCGCGCAGCGTGTAGTTGGCATGTCTATTAAGTCGTCTTTTGTTACTCTTAGGTTGTAGACTAGACTAGTATGAAAAGGACCTAAGTTTGATGACCTTTAATTCTTAACGAACCTTCTTTATGAGGTCATGGTCGAATCCGTTTCTTTTTTTAATAAAAGATTCCAGAATTTTATTTCGGAATTCGGAAGCCCAAAACCTTATCCCCACAAGGCCGGCAGTACACTCGTAATTCCTTTAGTGTTGCGGGTATCCATGAACGGCCCCAATTGCTTACCATCAGGTAAATAGTAATCCGTCTGCTCGTTTGCAGCCGATTTCATAGAAAAAAGAATTGACATGAATGTTCTAACTACGCCAGTTTCCCTAACAATAGTTTTGCTAACGAGTATCCATCTAAAGCTTATTGCAGGTAATTGCATTAGCATCCGTGAAGCCGCAGGGCTTCGTTAGCTGCTAGTCCTTAGACCTAGGTATCATTATAATGCTTTTTCGCACTATTCCTAAACAACGTTTTTACTAGTAATAGGTATAGCCGATTACTAATATTGTGGCGACGCGCATAGCATAACAAGTCCTGCATCGCGCAAAAGAAATTTGCGCACTAATAAACACGTGTAGCTAATCCCACATAGCAACACAATCCATCCATAATATGACATACGTAAAGTCAGTATAATTTCTTAAAATGGCAATAATGTCCATTTTGCGCCAAAAATGTTGACCTTAATCATAAAGATATTTGGTCTTCTCGGAGAAAAGCTTACCTTGATTTCGAAATTGCAGCTGCCTCTTCTAATGACGGCGATCCAAGGTTCTGAAGGTAGAGGTTCGTTGGGAGCCGCTGTGGACAGGAGTGGCCATTGGCAGCCAGTATGGTCTCGCTCTGCGTCTTTAGACCTCACGTGGACTGCAATACCTCGCGAAGAACCGATGTAACCCTCTCCATATTTACCGGACTGGAAAGAAATGGTACAATTAAATAATATTGAATTAGAAAAAGCAATTAAAATCGATTGTATTTCAGAGCTATGACTTCCGACTGAACAGATAAGAGACTGTTTATCATTTTTTGGCGATAATTTTTAAGAAAGATCACACAAACTATAGGGGATAGTTGTGAAATGGCAACTCTTTCGATGCCGGTACTATGATAATACTAATTGTATTACCGTGCCGTGGCCTTTCCTAACAAAACAAATGCCTGCAACGAAGTAGTTAAATTAACACCCTTCCGAATAATTTTAATTTTATTGTCAATATACTACATAATGCACTTATAACATTTACAATACACCACCTGTAAAAAAACTAATGAATCACTAAACCTAAGACAATTTAAGTCACGATCGTGTCAATATGGCGGCTCACCTAATTATTATTCATCGCTAATAATTAATACATAACCTATAGCATTACTGCCTTGAGAGGCAAAAGGCTGGCTCTATGCCAAAGCCTGTCTGCCTATAAATTGACCTAGGTAATTAGATATTGGATCGTTTATAAAGGTTTTGGTTACGAGAAGAACTGAAGGGTCCATAAGTTTTGCAGTTCTTTTTTTACGATTCTTTTGGCGTAATTTGAAATTCATTATTCATCAAACTATAGAATTATATGTTTTGTCTTTAAATCACAATTTGACGAAACTCTTATACCTACTAAGAAAAGTCTATGTACTATGTTTAAGTTCCTAACAAGCAATTCATTACAACCTAATAAGATCCCGATGTTGTCGTTGGGGAAAACCAATACATATGAAGTTTCAAGCAAAGTATAATTGGAGTTTTTCAGTTTTTCAGTAGGAGCACGGAATTTCTGTCTCTTTCCGGAATAAAAGGCGTGATTGTACTTCTTCTATATGTGTTTTTACTTCTCTTACCCTGGGTGGTGAGAACCATCCCGGATGAATATTCATGTAACTCCTCATTTAGGTCTAAAGTACCAGAAAACATGCCATTTCTACCTACACAAAGCCTCACAAAGGTATTTTCGTCCTTCCATACTAAAGGTCACATTTTACTGAACTAAATGCACTTATCAACAAAAAATATTACAGGTATAATGAAAATAAATACTTCTATGAAATTAATAATTAATAACGTCAGATAACTTATAATGACGTACGTCAACGCCAATCTAGATTACGTTGTTAGCAATACTTTCAGCTGTTTCCTAATCTTTAGAAAAACATCCTCGTTTCACCGTCATCAAAATACTTATTTGTTTTGTCCAGCTGCACTAATTGCATAATTGTTTATTAGACTAATTAGTAAACATTAATTCAATTGTTTGTTTACCTGGTAGTTCGAGGCAAACACTCAGGAGTTTTATTATTAATTTTCAAAATTAATTTTACTATAAACTTTAAAGGTCGTTAGCATTGTCTATGTTAATTTATTAGCTATCTGTGGTCACGTCAAAGACAATCGTTGCTTGCCAGCTGCCAGTGTCATTCAAACTTATCGTTCCTTTTTCCTTCTATTTTCAAATTTGAATCAAACCGCGTAATTAGTTTGCCGTCTGATAGCAAATTGGATTGGAGTCAGTCAAGAGAAGAGCTAATTGAGTCAATAACAAAAGTTAATTACGGAATGCAAAACTTGTGCGGTGCGCATACATGATACCGGTAATTGAGTAGCTGCTGGAGAAACTATCTTATTATTACAAATTAAATTAAATCTATATGGAAATGCCATTATTGTACCCTTTATATATATATATATATATATATATATTGTTTGTAACCAAGCAGTTTCTATTTAATTCTTCTTTTAAGTTTTGTCACACACTGCTACACTGAGATTTAATTATCTAGGCTTCTTTTTTGTTTAAATAAATTTTGCCAGTAGTCGTGTTCATAGTTCCTAGTAAAGCCAAAACCAGCAAGTCTAATGAATGAATGGAAGAAAGAAGATTGACATAAGGTATCATTACTAGTATCATCGACCATCAAAGTTGATCTACGTCAACAGATTATAAATAAAATCATAATGTAAAATTTTCTAGAACCTACAGATTAAAATATAAATAAGCAAAACGATATTATTATAAAATACATCGATATCGTATCAATTTTGTATGTAAGTATGTACATTTGAAAAATATTTACACGATAACAGTGGTATTTCTGTTCAATGATAAAATATAATGGATGCCTTTGTAATGAAAGGGTGAATTAGAACATGTTTTGCAGACAGTCTTGTAGACTGATAGGTTTTTAGGTGTGGCTTGTTTGTTTGAGCAGAATTTTTATCTTCTTTGACTAAACGGCAGATAAAATTCTTTACTCACTTATACCGAATAAGCCTTCTTTTTTTTTTGAAAAGAGAATAACATTCAATGTCCTCTCTCGTCTAGGATATGACGTGTGTCAGACTCTAACGGCCTTATTACAAAACAAGGTTTTACTTTAGTCTAGGGCAAAACCATTGAGCCAGTTTTCGTATTTCGAATTGAAGGTAGATGACAATAAGGTTCAAAATTCAAAACCCGACTCAATGGTTTAAACCTGGACTAAAGATAAATCTTGTTTTGTAATAAGGGGGTAAGGGTGCAGTTCCAATGAGGCAGAGCGGAGAAGAGCTGTGCCGCGATTCACCAATCACATGGCTTGAAATCCACATCGGAGAAGAGATGTGGATTTCAAGCCCTGTGATTGCACCCTTACTACTGACTAAAAACACCCCGTTCCATCTGGCCAGTCTTCCATCCAGGCCGAAGCCGCGGTACCTTAATGCGCTAGCCCTGTAACAGCGGTTGCACATCGACCTCGTTTGGGACTTGTCTGTGATGGTCTAATGGTTTTTTGAGGCTCGGCGCGATATGCGCTGTCATCATAAGCCATTCTCGCCCCATTGAGAGCGGGACAAGTCATTTAATTATTCCCTCACAAAATGAGACTCCGGTCAATTAGCTATAAAATATAAATATTTAACTATAATTGTGTCGTTACAAATTGAAGATTGCTTTAGAGAATATCGAGCAAGAAATACCATATTATTATAAACCTATAAGGTTTATAAGAGGTGACAGAAATGTGACTAGAAATTGACCCCTTTGTTGTAAAGGGCAGACGCTGTCATTCATTGTATTGTATTGTATTAAATGAAGACAGCGTCTCACTAATGGAATGGTACAGGAGCCGATATGTATTTTACTTACCTAGGTATAATAAAGCTCAAACTAGATTTAACCTTTCAATCGTGGTAATTCGAGAAACAATAGAAGAACAATAGGTGAACGGACGCCGGCGTTCGCCTGAGGTTTGATTGTTTGATGAATTAATTACCAACACAATGCTAGAATATTCTGGAAGATAGCAAGCGGTCAAAACTGTATCACGAGAATGTTTAATTGCTAACTGGCTACTACACAACTGGTCAAATTCAATACCCAATGAAAATAGAAAAAGAAAAATAACGTACAAAATATATTTCAATATTTAATTGCACTAAAAATATAAAGGTATAACAATTATTGTCTTTTTAATTTATTATCTGTGGTTTTCCCAAACAGAGCGAGACATACATAATGATGGCTTACCGAGACCCTATTAATAATTTTAAGTAGGTATTACCTAGATATCTTAAACTCGAAGTCAGTCTTAAAATTAAATATCGGTAATTAGACCCCTCGAATTATAAAAAATACCTACCATCCATAAACAAAAATATAGATAAAATTATTTTTACAAAACCCTACATCATTTTTCGGTCTAATAAAAGATTCACGATCTCAAAACCTATCAACTATTGAACTAACGAAGCTGTCAACTGGAACCCAAACCTTTACCTTTTTTTAAATCATTGATCAAAAAGTCTCAATACCAATACAAGCGCATCAATCTAACCGAATGCTTCAAAAGATTTCCTACCTTACCCCTATTGACGTAGAATTGAAAATTGATTAAAGGAAATTGATATATTGGTGTATGTACACCTGCTGCCGTTTCTTCTATATTTTCTATAGAGCGTTCAGAATTTGAAAACGAGTGGGTGTTAGGGCTCGTTCCCGATATAATGTTACAAAGCTGACCAACCGTTCGCGTGGGCGCGTGACATTCTGATTGGGTCACATTCATTATGCGAAAGGCTCCTAGAAACCTGATTGGTGGTTTTGTTTTACAAATAGAAAAGAGGTTACATTATGGTTTATTTTATTTAGGAGGGAAACGGTTTAGGGAACGTGAATTAATCGGTGATTTTATGGCTGCTATAATTTTATGAGAGTTTATTAAAAGTTTGTTATGAAAGGTACCTATTTTGTTAGTAAACGTGGGTACGAATACATTGATTATGTATGATGGTATGATGACAGCGAACACGGTGAGATATATTTTTTTTTCCAATCCGCCTACATGAACGAACCTTGGAGTTCTTGATTCTACTAATATTATAAACTCGAAAAATTGAAAATATTGATGTTTGTTATTTTACTTTTACACAAAAACTATTGAACAGTTCTGAACAAAATTTGGCACATAGTACTAGAGATAGACTCTAGAATAACACATACTTAGGCTAGCAGAAACTAGTACTTATTCAATATATAAAAAATCAAAACATTGACAACTAAAGTGAGCTTCGATAACCTATTATATATAGATAGATCACACCAGATCATCCCCTCTTCAATTAATCCTGAGCATCAACGTAATCGAATCTTATATCGATGGTCGACACCGACTATTATTAAAATCGATTAGAAAATAGGTAGTGCCTATAATCGAGTGGTTACATCAACGTTCCTAGTACCGCTTGTACGAATAGAAAAGGAAGTGTTTAATTAGAAATCTATTATTGAACAACAAAATCCACTTACGTCTACGCGATATTGCGGTTCCGCGATCATATATTTTATATTTTATGTAATTATGTAACCATGACTATTGTAGCCCTTTTTTGTGGGGGTTAGGAGGGGAGAGGAGTCATCAAATAACTTCTCTCAGTCAGGGTATGGC